ATTTACTGTTCTTGATTTTCCCCGTCTGGATTTGGATCTGCCACAATTTGAATTTCTTTCTGAAGTTCTCCCTCTAGACTCCGTGTGCAAGGCTGAGGAGGTTGATGCTTCACCCGATTCTCTCCGTCGAATTTCTTCGCTCAGTACCAGATCCCGAACATCGTCGAATTTTAATTTGATGTTTCCCAACGAACTGCTGACTGCTGTAACAGTAGCATTCCAACTGTCTGGTAGAGATGATAAGAGAATTAAAGCTCGAACTTCATCATCGAATTCAATTTCCACTGAACTCAACTGGGTTGTGATTGTGTTGAGTTCATTTAGGTGTTGTGCCACCGATGCCCCTTCCGTCATCCGCAAATTGAATAATCGCCTCATCAAATGAACTTTGTTTGAGGCTGATGGCTTCTCATACATACTGGAGAGAGCCGCCATAAGACCCGCCGTGGTCTTTTCCTTTGCTATGTTGAAAGCAACATTGCGGGATAACATCAGTCGGATAACTCCGAGGGCTTGTCTGTCGAGAAGAGCCCAGTCTTCATTCTTCATGCCCTCTGGTTGCTTTCCTAAAAGAGGTTGATATAGATTTTTCTGGTACAGAAAATCTTCAATCTGCATCTTCCAAAAGCCAAAGTCCGCACCATCGAACTTTTTAATTTTCACCTTCCTTTCGTCTGCAGCCATCGCTCCCACTCGAATCTGGCTTCGTTTGGATCGTTTCTGACAATTTCTGCGAACCGCCGTGTATTAGAACACCTCCGTCGACAAACTCGTATCGCCGACCGAATTTCACTATTCACGAAATTCACTATTCACGTGAATAGTAATGAATAGTAACCTCGCAGAAAATTGACAAAATTCACAACCAAAATCTCTGATTACCAGTTGTTAGGAAATAAACCGAGTACGAGTAATTTCCCTATAACCAGATTAGTGAGAATGCGAAATAAAAACGGAAAAATAATATCCGAAATTGATAACGGAGTTCAGCCAATTGTGCTTACGTCTCCGGGCTGCTGCAGATCTTTTACTAAGGGAAAATTTACAGGTGTTTACACAACACACTTGAGAGAGAACTATAAGATTTTGGGATGATTTTGAAGCTAAATGAGCTAGGGTATTTATAGTTGAAACTTAGGGACTAATCTTTATAAATACCCTAAAGTTCAATGATTCAATTTTGTAATTAACCCTATTACAAAATATTAAAAAAATAAGCAGCCCCCCACTTGATTTTGGAAGCAGCCGCCGGCTGCTTCTTTGACCAACATTTACCCACAAAGATTTAAGTAATTCTCATTTGGCACAAGCACATGTACGTACTGAAAAAACATTACATCAAGAATGAAGCTTATTTTCAACATTAAAAGATGAACAAGAAAAGTATAACCAAACCAAATGGTTGGAACTTAAAAACATATGAGACTTATACGTGGATGTTTGCCCCATGTTTATACAATATATGCATATATGTCTTTCTTTAATGAATTACTAGACTATTAAAGCTCCTTACCTCTTTGATAATGATGCAAATATGGGAGAAACCACAAGAAATCCAACCATAAATGATAGAACTCCATCTTCAAAATTGTTCAAGTTGAATTCACCCCTATAGAGAACAATCAACCGGAATAATCCAAAGAGTTCAAAGGTCTCAAAATGTAACTGGCATGGCATTTACATCTCAATCATGCATATAGAGGCATAAAACATATATTAGTTGGTACTGTAGTTCTTTTCCAAGTATACATGTCTACATTGAACCAAAACTAATTCACTCTTCCGATCTAATGCTTAAAAAATCACATACTATGAATTCCCTAATTTCTGTTTGCAACAAACTAATCTCTCAACAGATTCCTGTCTCTACATCTAGGGGAAAATGAAACAAAATTAACGACAAATCGAAAGGTATTTACAACTGTTTCCCCATCCAACAATACAATCTAATAAGGAAAAAAAATAGGATCTCCAATTCTTACTGTATTCCATTACCAGAAATGCATGTACCACTCGATGTGCAAGTTATAAGACTCCCATTGAAACCATTGCTTGCTATTGCTCCTCGATCCACATAATTTAACAAGTTTATAACACAAAAGATACCTAGCAACCTGAAAAAAGTAAAAAAACCACAATGTGCAAAGCACCACTATAATTTCCATGCATCGCCTGCAAAATCAGCTTATAAATCCCAATTTTTGCATAATCATAGCCATGAGATATAACTATTGGATTTAAAAAGAAACTCAAAATGCCACTCAACTTTTATGCTCATCCCTAACAACATATAGCATATTACATTATCAAGTGCAGTAGTCTATGACAACCAACAAAGAACATCTTTTCCTTTCCTAGTCATAACATAAACTGTATACTTGCATAAAGTTTTTGTCCTAAACAACTGAAAATTTTAAACATCCAAAATCAATGATAACAAGGAAAAAAAATCTTTTGGGAGAGAAAAAAAAGAGAAATAATAATAATAAGATACCTTTGGGGCGTAAACCAGGAAGGATGTCTAGCTGATAACGGCACTAAATTCCCTGCCATGTCTGTCTACAACAAAGCCTAATTTGGTTCTGCAGAAGAAGCTGTAATTCTCCTTCTTGTTGTTTCATTAACTTATAATAGCAGGTGGCCTGCTATTGATATTCATAGATCTTTTATCATTTGTGACTGGCCTCTGAAGGGTAGTTAATATTAAAATAAGGAAGGTAGGTGAAACAGCTTACGTTAGCTCTAACCTCTATCAGGTTTATAAAAGTTGTTTAATAATTGTATTTACCAAAAAAATATTTAAGACCTCTATATTAAACGTGCTCCCGTAGCTCAGTTGGTTAGAGCGTTGGTCTTATGAGCCGAAGGTCGCGAGTTCGAGCCTCGCCGGGAGCAGTAATATTTATTAAAACCAAGTCCTTTTTATGCCTCGGTTCAACTATTTTGTGAATGATACATGGTTTTCTTCAAAAGGATTTTCCAAAGTGCAGTTCTCGTAGTTTTCAAGTGAATAGCCTAACGGTAATATACTCAGCTGACAACAATCTGCTGCACTTACATTTCACATTTTCACTTCAATATTCAGAAACAGAATCAAATGAATGAGTCTTTTTACACATTTGAATGTTAAACCTATGAATCATAGATGAATTCCTCAACCCCATTTTTCGACCCTCTTCTCCGACTTCTACACATTCATCTCCCATAAAAAAATAGCTTAGAGGCAGCAATTTACAAACAGCCAACTCCCACTGATCTCCAAGAGACCGACCAGTCTTATGGCGTTTGCAGAAGAATAAGCTTGTCATCATCCAAGGTGAATACTTAAACAACTTTATAAGCTCTTCACATTTCATCATCCTGTCTCAAAGCTACTATTGATTAGCTGCACCAGTATATCCACCCATGTACCAGGGACACCAGTTAGGCACCAGTGCATGCAGTCCTGGCCCCAGATCGACAAGGCATCCTTCTGTCCTAACCAAATTGCTGGATGGCCATCTGCTCTGAACTTGTTCAAATGTGTCATATCATCAAGCACCTTAATATCTGTGCCTTGCACTGCCTTTCTAATTAGATTGTTAAGTGTCCTTTCTTCTTTATTCACTCCATCGTCGCTTGGATCGAACCACAAGTCAAGCTGTCCAATAGTAACTTTGGATGAATGGCTATGCAAGGGATGCCAATGAAGTTCAAAAGGACTAAAATAGGCTAACTGAACTAAATGGAGTATTAAGTATTAACCAAGATTGAACAACATTGCGGTTGAAGAAGAGATAAAAATTATGAATAGATACCTGGTATTCTTCAAGGGGTCTGTCAAACAAGCAACTACCGTTTCGATTCCACTTGCCGTCATAAAAATGTCTCAGCGACTGCAACCGCCAGAACTCGAGGGTGTTCTTAAGAACCTCCTTTTTAATGTTGTGAACCATATTTTCAAGAAACCACTTGAAAACCATAAAAATTAGTAACTTACCAATGGCGAGTGTTGAAAACAAGAACATCATAGAGGCAAGCGAGGCTGCTCCATTCATCTGCAGCAATATCGAAATCCACTCGGTATACTCCTTTTCCTTCATCTTGAGCAGAAACCGCAGATTGTTTCGGCTTCCACCTTTTTCCGTAAAGCACAAGCTTTTGAAACATAAAACTAAGGCAGACCAATGAAACGACATAAGAATCCATATTGGGAAAATAGTTGCAAGTCATAGCATTGGAAAATATAAACGCGACACGTGTCGGATAACGATTTTTTTTAAACGGTTGTTACGTCATAAATACTTTAGATATAGTTTGGACAATTATGTTTATATTAAGTTATTTTTTTAAAGTTTTTGTGTTCTTATTCAAACTCAATAAAATTAATTCTACTTGAACTATTCAATGGATAAACCGACATACGTAATAACTATATATTTATACTGGTAAATCTCGTGATAGCACTACAAAAAAAATATCATTTTTAGTGACTATTGGAGTGTGATGAAGAATCTCGTCCCAGGAAAATTATTTGTCATCAATGAAATATGTAGTCGTGACTTATTTTTATTTGGTCACTCTTTCAATAATGGTCAGGGACGTATTTAGGGGTGGGGATACCTAGGTTATGGCCAATGGAAATGCTTGGACCGCAGACCGATTCTGAATCAGACAACCGGGCTTGAGACAATGCTAGACATTGATGGCTTTCGGTCTTGAGCCTGCTTCATCATGCTTATTTCCTTATAGGGTGCTGAGTTTGAGATAGAGGAGTACAAATGAGGGCAGTGAGGACACGAACCGTCGTCATGTGGTTCTTCTGGTATCTGCATCACTGTTTCGAGTCTCCATGTATGGAACTTTAAGTGATTCTTCTAAAGGAAGATGCTTGTCTAAACGTCGATCACTAGATGAAATTCAAAAACCTGCTCTCTCTTATATAAATGGGTTCTTTCAACATTTGCTAACATAAAGCCGAAACCAGATAAAGGCCAATCATCAATTCAGGTGATTGACAAACAGAAGGTCAAGATACCTAACAATAGAGATGAAATTAGAAACATCAAAAGTATCTTCAAGAGAATCATCATGAAGCAATAATCTAATCAAACCGTCTTATATTAGCCAGTCAAAATTCTTCAGTCTTGTAAAGTTTTATTCGATTTGAACTATTTTGCGGTTCATAAACCTAAGCCTGCATATCTCATCGAAGAAATCATCTGTGCTGCTATGGTTGCTCTTCATTTGAAGAATCCTTATTACCATCTTCTTCAAGTTTTTCCCATGCTTCAAAAGGGACTCCAGAGTGCTCATTTTCTGTTCAGCGTTCAGTGGTGATCTTACTTGGACTACAACTTCCTCTAGGCATGGAATCACAAAGCTCTGTTCTACCTGCAAACACAAATTTTCACTTATAAGTAACAATCTTGAAAGTATATAATTAGGCCAAAGAGTGGGATCATAGTACTGCTTTGCCTATGATATTATAGATTACATTTTTCAGGCTGTTTTTCTGGCAAAGAGCAGCAAACATGGCTCCATGAATATCAAACTTCTGCAGCTTGGGATGGCTATTAAAAAAATCAACAAAGTCGACTTCTGGAAAGGGCAAAAGGGACTCCAAATCTCCCGTGAATTCAACCTTCATGTAGAGATGCTTCACCTCACTAGACCACTCTAACATTTTGCTTATTGCATCCCAACACCATTGGACACCCCTCATTGATAAGGATTCAAGGGCCGAAAGCTTCCCAAAGTCTACCATGTATATTCTGCCTAAATTCATCACAAAGCAAAACGGTAGGTAAATATTGAGTTCAAGTTGCTCCTAGTTCCTAAACGAAAATGGAAAAGCATACTAGACACATATGAGGAATAGTTACCAGCATTGTTAGCAATCGAAAGCTTCCTCAGGCATGTTGTCTCGCGAACTCGAATCCAACTACAACCTTGCACCTCAAGGAGTTCGATTTTCGGACAAGTGAGAGAAAGGGAGCAGTTCCCCAAGCCATAAAAGTCCAGCTTACACTGCTCTAAATACGGCAACGCAACTGAAAATGATCTAACCCCTTCACAACCAAGCAGTACTAAGTTAGTCAAGTTAGGGCAAGCCCTCAGTGCAACAGATAATGCAGGATCCTCCAACCTTGCTCCAACAATTTCAAGGCTTTCTAGGTTTTTAAAAACATCCCACTTGGGTGGATTAGCCATTAGCACACCCCAAAGCTTCAAAGACACCAAATTCTTGGCTGCACTAATGCAGTCCAATTTGGAAGGACTATCAATACAAGCCTGATAATCAGTAATATTATCCATTCTGAGCTCAAGATACTTGAGCGATGAATGCACCAGTGATAGCCATGAAGCAAGGCCTGAACTGGTGAATGAACTGTAAACAACAAGCTCCTCTAAACACACAATTTCCGAAAGCATTTTCCAGACAACCACATCAGGGTTATCATTGCCGGAGTAACCATCGAAGGAGTTGCGAGGAAAGTAGAGACTCTTAAGGTAAGGCAATGACTCTTTCCATCTCTTGGATACGCAATTGCAAACTGCAACATCTCGCGCATTGTTAAAGTGTGACAAAATGTACTGGACAATGGCATCAGGAAGAGAATCCATTCACTGAGAAATATCATCAAACACGTAACGGTCAATAATTACTGCAGAAACTGACACGATAAACCAATCCAAGGATAATCCATAACGAACTAAATACCAAATAAAACGAATTCGCAGACATTATTTAATTTTGAACCGAAACAGTTATTTGCTGGCTGCTAACATAAGCATTCAAGTAAATTAAAGTTTGGGTAACAACTAGATCAAAATTCGTAAGACAAAATTAAAGTTTGGGCAACAGTTAAATCATGCCCATGCCATATTACCCAGATTTGATACTATATTGTATCATGCAAAAATGAATTGAAACTTTCTGGTGATATCACCCAGAAACCAAGAAAAAAAAGATTAGCATTGCATACAAATATACTCGAATGCATGAAACACGAAGAACCCAGTTAAGATATGAACATTTCAAGTTAAACACACAACGTAATTCAAGTAAACGATATGTAGCTCATAAATTTGGACCATTAAAAGCTTCAAAATTACAATCAAATTTAAACATATGAAACCAACAAAGAGATAAAACAAAATGGGGAAGAAAGGATGTAGCCTTACAGTGAGGGAAAAAATATGAAGAGATGGCGATGAAGAAACAGATCTGAGAGAAGATCTACTTTGAAATTTGAAGAGAGACAAAGAGAGACGAGGAGAGAAAAGGAGGAAGAATATATATAAAAAAAAGTATATAGAGACAGAGTGGCGCGCCTGGAAGGAGGCTCAAGTGTTTTTTCAATTTTTAAAAACTTTGAGAGAGAGGGATTTTCATGTTTCGTTTTTTAATTAAGTTTTATTGTTACTGCATGGGTTTTCAAAATTTCGAATTTTTTGACCGTTCAACAACGGCCCATTTAGTAAAATGCTTTGATCCGTATCAAAGAATAAAGTTTTTTCCTTTTTACTGCAGTAAAAACGATACGTGGGCTTTTTACCCTCCTTAAAAATATTTATGGATAAAATTATAGGTCTAATGCCTTTTAATGGAAGTTGTTATTGTGAAAAAAAGGTAAAACTATTAATTCCACTACTTATCTTTGATTGTGTTCCTGTTTTGGGTCATTAAACTTTTAAAAAATTCTATTTAATCACTCAACTTTCAGTTTATTCCTGTTTTAGTCACTCAAATGCTAAATAAAAAGCAATAGAATTGCATGGTCGGCATAATGTTAATATTTAATGCTTTTGTTTAAAATGTGGAACAGTGGAAGTCATTTTTTTTTTTTTAAACAAGAAAGATATTATTATTATTGTTGGTATTTTTATTATTATCGTATGTTTGATAGTTTTCGACGATGTGGTTACATAGATTTTATTACCCCTCGATGTTCCTGTTTTTTTATTTTGGATATTCGACGACAGTAACAATGTCGAAGTAGTAATAAAATGTTTAGGATTTAGGATTCTAATGCAGTTAATTTTTTAGATTTTAGAGAAAATTTGGGAATTTTTTAATAAATAATTTTAATTTTTAAACAAAATTTTAAAAAAAATTATAAATCCATCACATGCCACGTTTTGAGTGGTTAACATTTTTTTAATAGTTGTGACAGACCATATACTTAAAATGGTAATAGAGAAAACGTTGGATACTTAATTTAATGTAAAAAACTTTAAACGCTTAAAAGGAATAATAGATATATAATTTAATCAATAGTAGTAATATTATAAATATACTAAACAAAATATAATAATATTTTTTAAAAAATAAATCAAATCGAAGATTTTTTACCTTATTAAACTTATTTAGATTTCCTCCTAAAAGTCCACCAATTTATTTTTAGTTCAAATCTTTTTTTTTTTAAGTTAATTTTATAAGATCGAGTTAAAATTCTTTAAAATTATCGATCATCTCTTTGTATTTGTTTTGAGGTTTTTCAAAGTAAAAAAATATTATTTTTTTAAAAAAAATATTTAAATTTAAATTCATACAATATAAGATAATATAAATTTTTTTAATAATTGAGTAATTAATGAAAAAATCTTTGCTTTCATTGTTTTTCAAGTTTGTTCTTTTTCGACTTCACTCATTATTATTTATTATATCTTTTGATGCTTTCAAGAATTTTTCTAAAAATATTAATTTTAAAATTAGAGAAAACTGTATAAAAAATCTTCCCAAATTTTAGAAATTCTTAAAATATAAATTTTCTATAAAATATTTTAAAAAATTCCAAAGTCAAGAAAAATAATATTCAAAGTAAAAAATTAAGAAAAAAAATTAAGTATTAACTTAATTTTTTAAGAAGTATTAAAATATATTAACGATCAATGCAAAATAAATTTATTTTAGTTTCAATAATTGATACCGCATTTATAATAATTGAAGATTAATAGCTGTTATTCGTGTAATTTGTCTGTGTAATTACCAAAGCATATCTCACTCACTCATCACCGTCCATTCTCAAATCACAGTGGAGTGGAAAACATTATTAACCACCATCGCACCATAACCAACGGTTCTGCATAACTGCATTATTTCTTTTTAACACTGAAATCCCAAAGTTTCAATCCAGTTTCCCCCATTGTTGCAAAAACTTTTGCAGGTAACTTGTTTTGCTTTTGTTTTCTTTCTTCCTTTTTGGATGCTAAAGCAGAAGCCTTTGCCATTGAAGCTTTCTTTCTAAACCTTGTTTATGGTTCCATTTTCTGCATGCTTATTTTTGTTGCGGAATACGGTTATTGGGTATAGTAAAATCGTAATTGATAATTTGAGAAAATAAAGATGAGGGTAAATAATACATAAATTTTACGTGAAAAATCCCTAAATAATATAGGATAAAAACAACGGGCAAAGATAGAATAATTTCACTATAAGAAAATAGGAATTACAACTTCTCTTGATCTAATAAGGAGAAAAAATAACAATTCTCTCTTGATAAAAATGAGAAAACAACTCTCAAGAAAACTCTCTAAATTTTCTAGTATTAGGAGAAAGCTAGAATGATTTGAGATGGTTTTGAAGCTAAATTGATTATGATATTTATAGTTGAAACTTAAAGACTAATTTTAAAAATATCCTAAAGTACAGACACTAGATAAAAAAAAATTCCATTTACTTTTCAACCAGCTGCCAAATGTAGACCGACTCAGCCGTGAATCTTGAAAATCAATTTTGCAGTAAAATTGGACCATTGTAAGCTGAAAACTTTGACCATTCTAAGATGAAAATTTTGACTTTTCAACATATTTTTGCCTTACACTTTGCATCTTTAGCTTTCTTTCTTTTTTTTCTTCAAGAAATCACTAGCTTTGCATGTTATTTTTGCGGGTTTCGGCTTGTTTACTTGTTCTTTTGGGGTGGTTTCGTGGTGCAACAGGACTAATCATGGTGGGATCGCGTCCGAAACCTGTAAAAGAGGGATCTTTTTCAAAGCCAAAGCAAGCGAAACACGTCTGCAAAAATGTGCGTCTCTTTAAGGTTCATCGTCTCCAAGAGATTTGTTCTGAAAAAGAGAGAACTTTTGTTCCAGAATGGTATAAGGATCGTGAAAATATCAATGGAGCTCTGAAAATTTTCAGAAGATTACTGGTGAACAAGCAGGAGCGGGACATGATCGCACAGAAACATGGGTTGAGCCCAGAAGGTATTAAATGTAACGGCATATGGCTTCATATAAGAGTAGCAAAACTCATGCAAGTTTTGGGTAAATGGGTTAACACCACCAGGCAAATAGGATGTGTTGGCGGAATCGAAATCGGCCATGAATTTCACTGGAGGGGCGAGTTGTCCATTGTTGGGCTTCACAACAACTTCCACAGGGGGATCAATGTTATAACATCCGTGTTCGGCAAAACCTGGGCTACGAGCATTGTCGATTCGGGTCGTTTCGATAATGCTAGAGTTTCTTCCGACGAGTTCACTTACTGCGGTGAAGGCGACAACCCTTGCTACGGAAAGCGAAACAAACACAAAGATCAAAAGCTCGATGGACGAAACCTAGCTTTGATCAATAATATGAATGACAAAAAGCCTGTGAGGGTTATACGGATGTATACCAGCAACGTTCGTGCCAATGATTCCGGCTACAAGTTTGTTTATGAAGGGTTGTACCGAGTGATTGGATACGAGAAAAGGAGAGGGGAATTTGGTAAGTATGTTTACGAGTTCAAACTGGTTAAGCTGGAGGATTGTCGACAATATGATTCGAAATGGAAGATGGATGTTCGAGCTCGCAGGCATCAATGGATAATGGAAAATGATCAATGAACAATTGGAACATTAGGCATGTTTCTTTGTGAAATCCTAGAGGATTCATTTACCTTTTTTAGCCAAGTAAAATGGTATGGCTCAGTTCATCAGTTGTTTTAGATTTTGATTATGTAAACTTCTTTTTTATCTAATTACATACTTGACTTTGATTTTAAAGTCAACTTGGTATTTACATTTTCAAGTAAAGATGCAAATAGAGACTAATTACCTACATTATTTGTTATAATAAGTTTCATTTTTAATTAATGATCCTATTAAATATATGTAATAATATTTTATGAATCAAATACGTATAAAATTATACTCTTTTTTTATAATTATGATTATTTTGTGATATTAAACGATTAGTTTCTTGCGTTAATGATTGTAAAAAATATTTTTATTATGTGTTTAGTTTATAACTTTGATCTTAAACCTTCATATATTTTATATTTTTAATAAAACTAACAACTCTTATTAAAAAATTTATAATTATAAAACAATTTATAATTATCATATAATCACATTTTGTTATAAAATATGTGGATTTAGGATTTGATAGCGGATGTGTATGAACCGAGAAACAATAGACACACCGACTTGTAGGGGTGTTTATTCGGTTAATTCGGTGGCCGAACCGACCGAACTATCATTTTCGAATCAACCGAACTTTTTTTTTCTTTAACAGTTAACCGAACCGAATTTTTTTCGAAAATATTAATCGAACCAAATAAATTTCGGTTAATTCGGTTAATTTTCGAATTAACCGAAATTTTTTAGAATTTTAGAATTTAATATTTTTTTAATTAAAAATAATAATTTACAATTAGTTTTAATAATATCTAATTATAAATAATATCTAATTAATTTGATTCAAACATTTTGCATTTAGTTTTGATATTATTTTAATTAATTAATATTGATTTGGATTTTAAATGGATTTTAAATGGATTAGGCCTCTTAATATAATTATATTTAAAGGTTAATTCGGTTAAACCGAATTAACCATTAAAATCGATTAACCGTTAACCGAATTTTAAAAAAATCCTTAACCGTTATCCTATCGAATTAATTCGGTATCCGATCGAATTAATCGAACTAATTCAATTCGATCGATTAATTCGGTTAAAATCGAATTTTGAACACCCCTACCGACCTGTCAGCTCATCTCCGTTAAAAAACCAAAGCATGTCTCACTCAATCATCACCGTCCATTCTGAAATCACTCCCATTTCAACATTATTAACCAACATCACACCATAACCGAAGGTGCTGATTATTTCTTTCGACACTGAAATCCCAGAGTTTCAATCCATTTTCCTCCATTGTTGCAAAAACTTTTCCAGCTAATTTTTCTTTTACTTCTTTTGCACCTGTCCTGTTTCTTCCTTTTTCGATACTAAAGCTGACGCCTCTGCCATTGAAGATTTCTTCATCGAAAATAATAAAAGACGTTGCTACAAACGTCTTCGTGTATACTATGTTAGAATGACACACTTTTATTATACGTGATTGAAAATAATATCATTCTAGGAACTAATGTTGTTTGTATGCCATTTTGACAATAAAAGTTGATATAAGTATTATTTAATTGAAATTATTAATTTTCTTAAGCCTAGTGCTTTTAAAATAGGTATAATGTGATAAAATATTCATAATATTTGAGTAAATAATTATAGGACTGATCATCGTCTTGTCTTGTGCACCACCTGTGTAGCCAGCCTTGCTCCACTTCTTATCGTAATTGTTCATCTCTCCTCCGTAGCCGCTTGAACCACCGCCAGGTAAATAAATACCGAAGTTCCTCTTATCTTTTTGACCCTTCAAACTTAGAAATCTTTAATCCCTTAAATTTATGGATGGTTTGAGGCCTAAGGGTTTTGTTTATGAGAGGTGATAATCAAAGCGGTAAAGTAACAAAAAAACAACACGTAAAAAGGATTTTGGTCGGTTGATTTTTAAGAGATAAGACCTAGTACGCCTGATTACACGGTGTTGATGAGTCAAAAGATGGTGTGATTTTCATGCCGCTGCTACTTCCTTTTAGTTTATTTCTGATGATCCGAACAAAATTTGCAGCCAATGCAAAGGAACATCTGGGTAGTTGAAGATCCTTTAGGTTCTACTCAAAGCATGACACTTGTTATCAGGTTTTAAATCCGACCATCCATCAGTATTATCACCGAGTAGGAAGAATCCTCGGACCAGCCACGCTCAAACTCTGTTTTAGGGGCTTGAATGTTTTATTTGTGGATGATGACAATGTAAAACGTATTGTGACTGGAAAGCTTCTTGAGGAGTTGGGATGTATTTTTTCTGTTGTGTCATCTAAATTCAAATGCTTGAGTGTTATCGGTGTTATGTTTGGCTTGAAAGTTGACAAAGTTTAAAGTTGTCAAAGTTAAAAGTTGACAAAGTTGAAAGTTGATAAAGTTGAAATTTTTAGTTGGTAGCCAACTTATTAGAAATTTCATCTTGATTGGTAGTCAATTTATTGAAAAATTCATCTTTAGTAGGTGACCAACTTTAAACATGAGAATTTTATCTTTAGTCCTTAAAATATTAGGTTATTTATAAGTTTAGTCCTTAAAACTCAACTATAAATAGACCGAAGTATTTTATTAGAAATCATCCCAAAAATAAATTCTCTCTTCCCTTTGTTTTCTTCATTCTCTCACTTTAGGAATTCTAAAGAATTCTATTTGTTGTAATATTTTGTTGATAGCAAAGTTATCATCAGGTGTGGTACCCGAAGAGTAAACGATATTCTTGTCGAACCTCGTAAATTTAGTATGTTCTCTCATTTATTGTTCTTTATTCGATTTTTCCATTGTATTTCAATATTCTATAATTTGACGAATTTGTCTGTTGTACAACCTTTAGTGATTTTGATATTGATATTTTAAATCAATTTTAAAACTACATTTATATGAAAAATAACTAAATTTTCCCAACAATCGGGTCGACATCATCTCCATTCTAAATCGTCATTTTGGAGTTTTAAATGCCCAATTTGGATGGATTGTTGTCATAACTGCAAGTATGTATCAAAATATCTGGAAAAATGTGTGCAGACCGGAATGAACAAAGTTATTCAAAAACCACCGGAATGAACAAAGTTATCCAAAAACCGGTGCTATTACAAGCAAAAAGGACAAAGATGCTAAAAAGCTTGAAGATGATCTTTATTTAGGGGATAATGCGAATGGGGAGAAATTGGTCGAAACCATTGGTTTTAAAATATGCCCTAGTGTGCAAAATGGCTATGGTTTTCTTCACATTCTCTCTCTTAATTTCATCTTAGATTGATTTCTTATAATGAAATATAAATGGATTTTGGATTTGATAGGAGATGCGTAGGAACCAAGAAATAATAGACAAACCTTACTCTCAATAACTATGGACGTGACAGCCCATCTCAGTTAACAAGGGGATGCGTATGAACCAAGAAACACCTGACAAACCCTACGCCGTTCACTGTGGACGTGATAGCCCATCTCGGTTAACAAAACCAAAGCGTATCTCATTAAATCATCACCGTCCATTCTCAAATCACTCCCATTTCAACATTATAAACCACCATCACACAACGGCCAAACGTGCTTGCACTAATTATTTCTTAACTCTGAAATCCCAAAGTTTCTATCCAGTTTCCTCCTTTGTTTCAAAAACTATTCCAGGTAATTTTTCTTTTACTAATTTTGCTTTTGTTTTCTTTCTTCCTTTTTGGATACTAAAGTTGAAGCCTTTGCCATTGAAGCTTTCTTTATGAGCCTTGATTATTTTATTTGTTTATATGGTTCCATTTTTTGCATGGTTAATTTTGCCTTGCAGTTTTAATCTTTCCGTCTCTTTAGTATTTACCTTTGTTTTAGGTTTTCAGGCATTCTTTTCTTCAAGTAATCATTAGCTTTGCATGTTATTTTTTTTGGGTTTTGGTTTGTTTATTTATCCTTTGGTGTTGCAATGGAATCATTGGTTCTTTTTGGTGTAATGTCTCGCGAGGTCCTTTTTGTTACTGCTTGGGTTTTCAAAACTTCGATTTTTTTGCAACCTTGGTCATTCTCATTCTAATTTTCACCCATCATTGAGCAATATCAAACATCAGGAATATGGCTGCACGAGACGGTCGACTCTCACTCCTGTTCGTCCGTAACACCACCGTGCCGCAGACTGCCGGCTCAGACTTGGCCGCCGACTTGGGCAGCGGTGAAGTTGCGAAGGGTTTTACATCAGAGAATCGGGTTGAGAGAAACCGGATCTCCCACACCTGCTTGAAACTGTACAACACCAGCAATCCCGCTTCTAGTGCTCAGATTGCTCAGATATGTGCATACTACCTTTCTGCTGTTATGACATTATTCCCAGGGATAAGGCCGATTGCTAAGGGCACTTTTAGGGATATGTGTGTTGAAATCACAATCTTTGAAGGAGTTCAAGCTTGTATCACGCAATGTGGCCTTGAAGTCCTCGAAGATGTTCCAGAATCAAAACTACTAGTCATGATTGCACAAGCTTTGCTAATCTTATATAAGAAAATATCGATAGTCAGAGCTGTGTCAACTATATGCGCAACATATACAGGGCTCTAGTTGCTGCAGCAGACTTTGATGAGAGGCAAGATAATGATCGATGTGAGGTGGTCATAAACGCTAAAATTGTCAGCATGATAAGGATCAGTTTATCCCCATTTCTGCACCTCAAAGCAGGCATCTTAAACATGATCATTAGTAACAAGAATGCTGGTGGGGCTGTTGGATCGGTCATGAGTTACTTGGCCGGTATATTAGAGTGGACCGAGATGGAAACCATAATGTTGATTTATGATAAACTTTTACGGCCAATATCTCCGGTTTTATACGATCCACGGGTTGCTATTGAGATACTCTACTTATCTGAGGCTTTCAAGGTCATCCTCAACACTGCCCTTCCTCCTTATTTCAAGATCCCCTTCCCCTATTACGTAACAAGAATCATGGAGAGGTCGAAATTCTCGATACTGTTGGCTGTTGCTCAGACTATCAGAGCAAACAGGTATATGTGTTGGGCAGTTTGTAACTAGGAGTAGGACCACCTCTGAGAATCCAGTACTGGTTGCTGAACTGGTGGGAATGCATCGTGCATCCACCGTGATTGCCAACATGGCCGTGATTCCCAAGGAGATCAGCTTTTTGACAGTTTGATTTATCCTATGATCAAGGAAATGAAACTACCATCGGGCAGAAAACAGCAAACGATCAGGGAGCTGCATCATCAGCGCCTCCACCTGCAGGGTGAAATATATATCTACTTATCCAGCCACGTTTTGGGAGACTGTAGAAATATTTATCTACTTATCCAGCCACGTTTTGGAAGACTGTAGGAATATTTATCTACATATCAACTCTCCATATGAACTCTTAATGCCTCTTGTGTTTCATTTCATTTCCACTTTATGTTGACAGGTACTATTTTATCTTGCATTTCACCCCAAATGATCTTCACTTTTCTCCACTGCTGCTTAGTACCTGTAGGAATTATTGATGAAGATATCAGGGTAATAATCGAGATTGTTCAACAATTGACATCTGAGAAAATATATTCATAGCAATTCCACTGCTGCTTAGTATGGCCTGTACCACCAATCTGCTTAGTTAGTACAATAATGTAAAGCATAATAGTCGAGTGATGAGGTTGTCGGGTTTCCTTAGACAGGGATGCGGTAAGAAGGGTCGACCATTTTCAAGATGAACAGGTTTCCTGTATCACCTCTTGGTACCCTATTCAAAATTCAACCATCATGCAACATAAAAATCAGCCCCAGGGTTCCTAAAAGTAACGTGTTAGCTATTGTTATCATCTTCATTTCTTTCTCATCCACAAGTTTATAATCATGTCCATCGGATTCTTCGTGTTACTTAAAGTACTAGTCCCGACACTCGTATCTGACATGTATATACAGGAAACAAATTGCAAAAGTCCAGCTTATCCATGTCGGAGACTGCACCATCGGTCTGGATTGATTAAGTTTATGTTCTTAAATTTGTTTTCGATCTCAGGATGTTACCTCAGTTCTTCATCCAGATATGTAAGCTCCAACTCACCACGAGCGCTTTCGAGTGCCAACGGGTATCTGCAGATGGAGAAAAAATGAATAATACGATGGGATTTAGACAAAAAAAAATGTAATTGACGGGGCCAAGGAGGACTACTAAGACAGAAGATTCCATCCGCATATTTGTTTATTCGATCAATAGCCTCAGGATTGTTTATTTCCGCTCTATTTCCGCTCAATGGATATACTTAAAAGAGAAACAGGATTTTAGGTATCAAACTATCGGTTGATTCAAACGTTTCAACATACCAGACCTCCAATTTTGAAATAATCAAAATTTACAGCCACTTTTCTTGCATTAAGAGGGGTTAAATCTGCAGTGACCTGCGAAGCATAATAGTCAAATTCCACAATTTAATTAGATGACAATTAAGAAGAAAGTCAATATTTACTGATTTTCTTAATCATTTGATAAAAATAACTAGGTATGCAAATGACTAGAAACAAGAAATTCAAGCCAATGGTGGAACTGGAACAACTTGAGCATTACCTGGTTGAAGAAAGGGAAAAATTCCATTTATCACCGGGAACTGGGGTTGTTGACCGATTAAAGCCTTTGGTTTTGATGGGTTTTGTTAGCAAGTGAAAGCGATGGAGTGAAGAGCAAGCAAAGGAAAGCTTTGGGGATGGTGTTGAGATGGAAGAGGGTTGAGATGTGGTGAGAAATGTATGCAAGTTTGGAGACAATGCCATGGCTGACTCTCTTCAAAGCTCCCACTGGTCCAAGTTAGTGTTGAAAATGAAAAACTTCACACGTGCATTGTATTTTGCTGGGTTGAAACCGGGTTTTTGGGCAGCGCCCCTGTTCATAGATCGGGTGGCGACCTGATTTATTTTGGGGTGTATATAACCAGGTCTGATGATCCATTTTATTACTAAAAACTTATTTTATATTTGGGTAAACTACATGAACTATCATTGAAGTTTGAGTAAATTTCTCGATGATCTATTTTGAGCAACGATTTGTTCACTAACGTTATTGATTTATAATAAATTAATCATTCCATCATTAACGACAATGAATGAAATAACAAAATATTGACTTGACACATTAAATCAGTTGATTTGACACTGTTTAACCATGCAAGATAACAATTTTAACATATTTTGACTCGAGATATAGAATAAAATCGATTTGTTTTATTTATTTCATGGAAACGTAGACAAAAAGGAGATATATGTTTTGTAGTTAAAGTGAAGGTGGTGGTGCAGTGGCGTTGATGGCCAACTTCAACCCAGCTTGGCAAACAATAGGTCTACTGCAAATAAAATAATTGGCTCCAAACGCAAGTGTGATATTGTCATCCCCTGTGCTGAACTCTATGGATTTGTCGTTAACACTGCAATCGTCGTGTGCTTCTTGGTCCACTATTGAAACATCGATTCCAGAACCATATACGAACTCTGCAAATAAAATCAACCAAACATATCACTCTTAATGTTAATGATAAAATTTTGATTGTAACGGTTATAAGCGGTTCACCCTTTCTGATTAATGGTGTAACTCATTACGTACCTAGAACGTCGCCAGCATGGAAATCCTTCCCTTTAGCCCAGCCTTCCATGCTGATCACCGGATCCCAACCATCCTCATCTCCGACCATGTAATGGACCGGCGTATACGAATGAATGGCCTCATATTGAAGCTGAAACACCATCAAAAATACCATTACTGGGATTAGGACAGAGCTTCCTCTAATTGCCATTCTCATTTTCCTGCACAATACTCTCCTATGAAAGCAAAAAATAAGGCATATTTATAGAGGATGAAAAGAATCACGAATATTATGGTACATTCATCTTCGGAAAATTAATTAATTTTTCCTTCATATTCTAAGGTATATATGTAAAATACCAAATTATGTTTTTTTTTGTGAAATTAATAAGGAAATTAATAAGGAAGAAATTGTGTACATTTTTATCAATAATATATAGGATTTTACAAGATTGTTTTAATTGGGGATTCGCAATCGTACGATTCCGGTGAGTGAAAAGATCACTTTCCTAAGTCGAAAATGGTAAAGCGAAAATGCTAGGAAAATAAATAAATTGACAAATATAAATCTTCTATTACCTAAAACAAATAAATTAAGCTGTACCAGGAGTTAATCGAATATCAATTTAATAAAAAATAAATAAAAATATTTTAAAAATATTAATTAATATTATTATAAAAATATTTCTATACATTTTTAAATAAATCAATTGAAAATCAAAATTTAGATATACACGCTATTAAAAAAAATAGATATACATATATTATTAATGGATTTAAATACAAAATCTTTACTATTAAAAAAGTTTAGATATACATGCTATTAAAAAAATTAGATATACATATATTATTAATATTATTATAAAAATATTTCTATATATTTTTAAATAAATCAATTGAAAAGCATTTTTTTGACCAAAAGTACTTTCGAAAAATACTTCCAAACCAAATAAATACTTGCCTTATTAATTTTCTTAATTATTGTATAATTTTTTTGAACAAATAATTATATTGTATAATCTTATATAATATGAGATCAAATCTAATTGATTTGGTAAAAATTGTAAACTCTATTATTTAAAGAAGGATTATTGTATATTTTGTCCCACGAAACGTAGGGTTCAATATTTAGTTGGTACTTGAATTTTTTTCAATTTATTTGAGTATTTGAGCTTTGACTTAACCTTAGTTATATAGTTTACACAAGAACTTGAAAAGCGTAATATACATTAATCCAAAAGTTTAATTATGTTAATTTTTTTTTTATTTCTAACTTATAACCAATCAACAGATGTTATGTCCTTTTAAAAACGAACACGTTAGTAAAATATAATTGATTTAAATTTTTAAGTGTATTTGATAGGTTGGTCGAGCTGTTCATTTTTGTTTCTTCGTATTCCTTAGGTCATGAGTTCTAGATCCACTAGAAACACCCTCATTCCTTCTCCTAGAATTCCCCATTCCCCTCTCTTCTAAGTTAGTTTAGGATTATATTTAATATTTATTTTAAAAAAAGTTCGAAAAGAATTTATGTACCAACTGGATACTTAAGGTCAAGTTCAGAGATTATTTTTAAAGACATGTCATATATATTGATTAGCTAAAGATGACACATTAATAGAGTCATAATTGAATTAAGATTTTAAATTAATGCATGTGACCATTTCCAAGTTAAAGTATCCAATAATATATATAATTTTAAAAGTTTATTTGATCATGACTTTTTGAAATGAAGATTTATTTAATCCATAATTTAAATCAAAGTTCACTTATTTTTGACTTTTGAGTATAATTAAAGGGACTTGTTTTTATATATATTCATGTATATAATCAAATAACAAAATGATATTGGTTAATGTTGAAGAAGTTACCCAGTAAATCTGGTAGAAACATCATTCTATATGTTATTTTAGGGTGAACTATATGTTTAGTACTTAAATTATTACTTTTGATTTATTTTGGTACCTAAACTTTATTTTCTAAAATCATACCGAACATTTAGTTTATGTTTCATTTTGGTAACCTACCGTTAAAAACTTAATGGTGATATTGATGTGTCATCATTGAAAAAAATAAAAATAATACAACGACAATAATTTTGTTAATTTTTTTAATGGTTAGATACCAAAGTGAAACCTAAACTAAATGTTAGGTATGGTTTTGGAAAAATATTAAAGTTTGGGTACCAAAACAAAAGTAATAATTTAGGTGATAAAATTGTAGTTTACCCTTTATTTTATTGCAAAGGGACCCTTAGTCACAAAGCATCACTCATCAAGATTTCCACTTAAACTATGATTATTATAGATTTGGACCACTAACTACCCACTCAACAGAGCAAAGCTAACAGTAGGGTATACATTTTTGACAACTTTTAATACTTAAAGCAAACTGATGAAATCATGGGAGTGGCTGAATCTCAGACTAGGCAGCAACGATTGCTATTTTCATTCCAGCTTGACAGTGACCAATATAATTGCAGATGAAGAAGTTTTGGCCCTTTCTGAGCTTGATCTGATCCCTGCCCGAGCTCAAAACTTTAGCACCTTTTGGTGCTTTGCATGAATTATATCCGCCTCTGTTTACAGCTACCACGTTGTGGATCGAAGGGTTGTAATTGAACACTGCAGTAAAAAACACACATGTTTGCATATCTATATGTCAGATTTGGGGTGTAAATCGAACACAAGTTGAGCTTTGGAGTTCCAACTGTGAAGCCTAAGGGCTTAAGGATTAGTAGTATAATTTTATCTTTTTTCTGGACATATAAACTAATATATTTGCTAATGCTAACTAATATATTGACAAACATTAAACGAACATGTTGACGAATATATAAACGAACATGTTGATGAATATATAAACGAATATGCTCACGAGGGCTAAACAAATAAAATATGAACATCTCCAAAAATAATCAAACACAAGACAATTTGTTCAAATCCCGATCATTTACACTATTAGCCAGATTCGAGTGTTAAGTACGGAGACCGAATATATTGGTGAAAGCAATGATTGAAGTAATAAACGTATTTGGATACTTACCGAGTGTGTCTCCAGCCTTAAAACGCTTGCCTTTAGGCCAAGCAGCGGCGTTAAACGTCCAGCCACCGCTACCTCCGACGGTGAAAGTTGCCGATCTAACCGACTCAAAGTGGAGCAACAACAAGCAGAGCAGAACCGTGGCAGCCATTGCACTGCATCTTCCCTGAGCCATCGTTTCTCTACAACTCGGAAAAGCAAGAGTGGGTGCACTGCAATGCAGTTCAGAAGATTGAGTTTGAGCTAGTGAAGAACTAGCCTAGGGAAGCTGGCCCTTATAATGGGGTTGTTTGTTGAATGTCGGGTGATTTGTGTAGGACCCATTGTTTCAAGGAACACGTTAACAGAAATAAAAGGAGATATGGAAGAATACATCATATTTTATGTTAAAAGAATAAATTTATAAAATTTTAAAGAACAAAAATAAGTTATCAATAAAAAATACAAAATAATAATTAAATTATATAAAAATTTAAAACTTTTAAAGAGACGATAACTCTCGTCACGCTGTCGATCCACCCTTCTAAGTATATATACTAGTGCCACAGCCATAAAGATGAGTTTGAATTAGGCTATAGATATGGCATTGTGTGGGTTTAGGGTAGATGCATAATTAGTAAGAAGTTGAGGTAAATTGTTTGATAGAGGAAAGTGACTTTATTGACAAAGGACAATGTCGTTGTGGACCTTAGAGTTTCCTAAATTTAAGTGGGTGTGTAGAAACAAACAAACGATGAGAAAGGAAAGTGAGAAGGCAAATGATATAACCTTTTCCTTGTCGTAAGGTTGATCCAACGATCAGTGACGTCAATGCAATTACGGATGATGATTTTGAAATTTTTATAATTTGAGAATAAAAAGATATGAGAGAACTTGAAGGAGGACAAAGGGTAAAAATTGAAAAAAAATTAAAAAATATCTTTTATAATAAAGTAACCTAATCAAGTTAAGTATTGTTTAATAATAAATCCGATTTCAACCCAAATTTAACTATCAATCTCTCAAATTTTACCTTCTCTAAACCCCAATTTCTAAAAGAAAAAAAAATTCAATTTTATAAAATCGTTGTAGAATTCGTCTAATTCAATTTGTATACCTATCCTCAATGTTGGTCACTAAATTACTAACTCAATTGACAAACGACACAACTTATTCAAGAGATGGATCATAATCACCCCCTTGTCCCCAAAATTTTCGAGATACTTTGACATCAACCATATTGCGATCACATCAGATTATATGCCAAAATCAACCATATATGCCAAATTCACAAGATTAGATGATCAAATGAAAAAAATAATCAAATTTGACAATGCAAAACAGCTCAAACATAAGAAAATCCTCGGATATGTAGTTTAAAATGATAATATTGGTGAACCTATCGAATGAACTCAGTGGTTAAAGAATTAAAATACGCTCATTTCAAAAGTTTAAGAATTAAAATACGCTCCACGCTTTACTGTATTAATTTTTACTTACATATATTCTCCATGTTCGTTTTACGTTGTATATTTGAGGTTTGTGACTGACCCTCTTAATAAATATTAGGGTAAAGTATAGTAATGGTCACTGAACATTTCTGAAGCTTGCATTTAGGTTCCTCAACTTTTAAAACTTGCAATACAGTCCCCCAACATTTATTCCGTTTGCAATATGGTCCCCCAACTTAAATCACTGTTAAAAAATTAGGGTAAATTATATAAACGATCATTGAACTTTTCAGGCACTTGAATTTAGGTCCCCAACTTTTAAAACTTGCAAAACAGTCCCCCAATAATTTTATTTTCTTATTAAATATAGATGTATAGAAAATATAAATGATTCAATTTATATTTAAATGTATGAATCATTTGTATTTTTGATATATTTTATTTTTCTTGTATAAACTAGTATTTAAAATATGTTTATATTTTAATCAAAATATTTCAATATATGAATAAAAATATATTTATATAAATGTATATTTCTATTTAGATGTATAAATAAAAAAATATATTCATATATTAATGTATAAATCATTTATATTTTTTGAATATTTTATTTTTAATAAGAAATTAAAATTATTAATTATATTAGAAATACTCAACTTAAGATTATATATAATCATGAATTATAAATATGAAAAATAATTATTAAATTTAGTTTAAAAATATATAAATCTTAAATTTATTCTTTTAAAATATTGTATCAACTAATATTTAAAAAATATATTAAATCTATCAAACAATTTATCAAATATAATATTTTTATTGTAAAAAATATAATATTTTCCCATCATTTATTGCTTTCAAATTTTTTGCCGAAGTTCAAATCTCATTATTTCCATTTTCCATTATATTCTTTTTTTTCTGGCATTGGTCATACTATTAGTATATGTATTATTGTATATCTCTTAACACAAACGATGGTGTTAGCTTAGTGGCTCCACCCTGTATCTTTCATTTGCGTGACTCAGGTTTGAGTTTGCCCAAGACCCAAATTTTACTTCTTTGTAACTTAATTTTCTTCTAATTAGGTGGTGACATGTGTCACCAATAACATATATCATGATCATGTGTTAACACATGTCAGATCCTGGTTAAATGATTAATTTATTAAATTTTATTTAATTTAGGATCAAATTGATAGCATATATAAATAATTAGGTGGTGACATGTGTCACCAATGACACGTGTCATGATCATGTGCTAACACATGTCAAATCCTAATTAAATGATTAATTTATTAAATTCTATTTAATTTAGGACCAAATTGATTATATATAAATAATAATGATTGAATGTATAATAATGTCAATTCCTTTTAACTGCCACTTCATCATTTGTATCAATTGGTAACGACTAGTGGCTTAGTTGAAACAGTTAAATAATTATGTTTTATGATTGATAAATTTAAAAGATCGATGACAAAAGTAAAAAGGGCTAGATAGTTAAGTTGTCAACCTAGTAGTTTACACTTTTATTTATACGTCAAAATAACATTTTATAAATTTAAAATTCGAATTATTTTCAACCTCTTATATATCCTAACTACTTTTTTTAATTAAAAAAAATCTTCAACAGATAAGAATTATACTATTATATTTATATAAAAAAATACGTATCACATGAAATAAGATGAAATTAAATAATAATAAATCTGACATAATTGAATTTAATTGAATTATTTTAGAATTTAGGGTTTAGAATGAAATTGAATTACTTTGGAAATTGGGGTTTAGAATGAAATTGAGGACTGTTTTGCAAGTTTTAAAAGTTGGGGGACCTAAATTCAAGTATCTAAAAAGTTCAATAACCTTTTATATAATTTACCCTAATTTCTAACGGTGGTTTAAGTTGGGGGACCATATTGCAAACAGAATAAATGTTGGGTGACTGTATTGCAAGTTTTAAAAGTTGGAGGACCTAAATGCAAGCTTCAGAAATGTTCAGTGACCATTACTATACTTTACCCTAAATATTATTTCCAAACTTCTTTCATTAAAAACGTTCCTTTAAAATAAAAGTCTCTCCAATCGAATGTCCTCCATTAAACTCTGAACATTCCTTTGAAATAATTGTCCTCAATTAACCTGTGGGTTTAAATTAAGGATTGTTTCACTCCAACTTGTGGTGCAATTTTATTTCAATCGAGAACAAAGAAGTAGGGAGGAGAACGGGTCAAATTGGGTCGGATTTTTGGTCAATTCAATCTGACTTGAAAATATACATCCTTCATCTGAATCTAATTCGATCCAAAAAATACACACTCCATTTAAGTTGAAAATCACATTTCTTCTATCCAAATCCGATCCAATCCGAAATTTTTAGAGTATAAATCCGATCCGAAACAACCTGAACCGGTATAAAATAAGGACCTGATTAAAAAATTATATAGAGAGGAGGTATTATAGTAATTATTCATAAAATTTATATGTTAAAATTACACTATTACTCTCGGGTCGAGTCGGAGATTGTTCACCCTCCACCTGAATCCGACCCGACCTTACCCTATATAAAATTTGACCCTAAACCCATTTTAAACCCAATTTTTTTTTAAAAAACGCGACCTTATCAAGTTAAATCAGATAAAATTTCATCGATTTGGGATCACATTGTCATCCTACCAAGAAAGCGTTAGTGATGGGGTTTTCAACAATAAATGTCACTATAAAGGATTTAATTGTTTGATAATCTGTACAGGTCATGAGAGCCATCGCTCTAATTATTTTTTGATAATGAACTTACAGTCGCCTGTGCCAATAGACTCCCTTTGGACTGGGAGACCCATGTTTTAAGTTCTATAGCATTGATTTTTTTTATATTTGATTGAGTGATGTACCTTGTATAACATATCACGTTTGGTTCTTGTAAATAGAAGAAATAATTTTGATCGTACTTAACTCTGGATATAAAACATGTGCCTAATTACTCATGATTTATCAATACTGTCGGTTCGAGTGACAAAAATTCCAATTTATTATAATTTAAAAATATTTCTTTTGCTAGAAGAAATTGGTGAATCATTCGCTTGCTTAAACAAAATAAAACATGGAAGGCATGAACCCCATAACAAATGTATAGTTTTAAATAAAAATTATTTAATAAAAATGTAAAAACTATGAAAGTAAAGGGTCAAAATGTATAATCACAATAACCTTTTAGCAATAATGTACAAGGACTAGTGACATAATTTTTAAAATATAAAGATTAAATTTCAAAATTTAATCAAATACATGGACTCGTATCATAATTTTACCTATATAATCCTATCACCATCTCTCCCAAATTTCCCTCCTCTCATGGGAAGAAGGGATTAAATATATTGGGCCCCAAGTGGAGAATGCATTTATTTTTAGGTAGTTGTGGAAGATATTTTCACTTAATTATCGGGTATTTTTTTTGTACAATAAAGTTTAGATAAGGATGACTCTCCCGGTCTAAGGTGAGGGCATATTTAAGACTCAATTAGGATTTACATAGAAATTTATAAATTGCTCCTAAAGAGTGGCGATGGTAAGAGTCAAACTTTGTCTTATAAAATCAAATTGTTGAATCCCAGCCACTTGTACCAACACTTATTAGCAATTCCTTTACGCTGCAAGATGGATATTTTTATAATATTTCTATATTTAATTTATTGATTAATTAATTTAAATAAGATGTATATTATAGATATTCTATTCATGATATTAGGAATCGAACCACTAATTTTTGTTTAATGGACCTAATATTTAATATAATTAGATTAATTAATACTGATTAAAAAATTAATCATTATCTATTGTAATTTTAATTCAAATCACATTTTTACCCTAATATTTTTAAAATTGCATTTTATGTGTCTACAATAAAAGGGAAAAAAAGAACTACAAGTATTGCTAAATCTTGGGTTGACCATATTAATATGGAATCATATTCTAAGAAAATATAATGTCCATCCAGCTTATTTGGTAGAGTCCAATATTTTTAATTTTGAGATCGTAGGATCGAGTCTCACAAAAATTATTACGTTTAACTAAAAAAAATATTCTAAGAAAATATATCTGTACACACATGAAAATTAAAAGTAAGAAGAATTTTAAAAAATGAGTACTATAAATACGGTAGAGAAATGGGAAGCCATTTGAGAGTTGACACATTGGCTTCTCTCTCCAAGAACAAGCTGTCAGCATTATAACTGCTGAGCCCTCCACCGCTTACTTAAATTCCTCAGCCTTTTCTTTGTATTTTGACTCACTATTATACATATATTCATATATATGTATGTATACTCGTCTTCCTCCTTGAAGATATTGTTTTTGTTGATGATTACTGTTAGTACTTAACATATTAAACAATGGGTTTTGCGTTCTTATTTCTACTGTTACTGTTATCTGCATTTTGCATTGAGGTTTCTCAAGGCCAGCTCTCAGTGGGGTTCTATGCCAACACATGCCCAGATGCCGAGTCCATTGTCTCTAGCGTTGTTCGAAATGCTGCCCGATCGAGCTCCAACATCCCTCCTGTCTTGCTCAGGCTCCATTTCCATGACTGCTTTGTTGAGGTCTTTCTCCCTCCTCCATCTCTCTTCTTCAATTTTTCATTAACTTCATGTTAAAATCAGTGGGAACTGATCTTTAATATTGGAACCATGGATGCATATGGTATCAATTCCAGGGCTGTGATGGTTCAATACTGACAGAAAACGGTCCAAATGCTGAGAGACACGCGTTTAGTCACCAGGGAGTTGGGGGATTTGAAGTGATAGAGCAAGCCAAAGCTCAGCTCGAAGCTACATGTCCAGGAGTTGTTTCCTGTGCTGATATAGTCGCCTTAGCAGCTCGAGATGCTATAGTATTGGTACAAAATACGTGCTTACATGCACTTGGTTCCATTGATGTATGTATGTACATCTTTATTCTCTCATCTTTGTTAATTGGTTGTATGTATATATGGCATGTAGGCAAATGGACCATTGTATGATGTGCCAACAGGACGTAGAGATGGAAGGGTTTCGGATGTTTCTCTGGCAGCTAATATGCCAGATGTTAGCGACTCAATCCAACAACTCAAGGATAAGTTTCTTCAGAAAGGTCTCTCGGAGAAAGACCTTGTGCTTCTTAGCTGTAAGTTACCCTTTTCTCTCTCTCATGCATGTTTGATGGCATCATTGTTGCAGTAGGAACTCAACTAATAAATCATGACATAGTCATACATACTGTTATGTTTTCGGAGACAAATTTTTCGGAGATACAATTCCCCCACCTCCATACTAAAATCAAATCACATCAGAAGGGTTTTTTTTTCATGAAGGAAATCCTTCCATTTACTAAAAATTTTTGGCAAAACTTTTGATAAATTCAATTGACTGATAATTATATTTATATACTTTGTTGGTCCATGATTTTAGATTTGACATTAACACATACAAAAGATCAAATATACAAACTTCTCTGCGAAGAAGAGAGGGCACTCCTAGAATCTTTGGGATTCTTCTCTCTCTCAAACAACTTTCCTTTATCTCTCTATCATCGAAATCACCAACCAATGATCGTATAATCATTGGTTATAGTTCTTCGTCCAAATTAAAAGGGTGAACCGCCAACGATCTACTTAACCTACTTGTTCACATTACCATTTATTGAGCACCATGCTAGACAGATAAGATGGAGTTTTCAAGTTTTTTTTCCCTTTCTAGGACAGATGCATGAACAATAGTCTAGCTTTAGCACTTTGTTGAATGTGCCAATTAATAATAGATGGTCCTCCACTGTGATTATCTAATGCTATTTTTGTTTTGTTTTGGCGTTTCGCCAATGAAAATGCATGCAGCGGCACATACAATAGGGACGACAGCTTGTTTTTTCATGACCAAAAGGCTTTACAACTTCTCCCCCGGTGGGGGTTCAGACCCTGCAATAAACCCTGATTTCTTGCCGGAGCTGAAATCCATCTGCCCCCAGAACGGAGACGTTAACTTGAGGTTGCCGATGGATCGAGGCAGCGAGGGAGCATTCGATAAACAGATATTGGACAACGTTAGAAATGGCTTAGCGGTGTTGGAATCCGATGCCAGGCTATACGACGATGACAGCACCAGGATGGTGGTGGACTCCTATTTTGGATTCCTCAATCCAATTTTTGGATCATCTTTTGAAGCAGATTTCGTTGAATCCATTGTCAAGATGGGACAAATTGGGGTGAAAACAGGGTCTAATGGAGAAATCAGGCGTGTTTGTACAGCTTTCAATTGAATCAAAATATCATTCAGCTCATAGTTGTCTTTGTTTGATATGATATCATATGTATCATATAACAGTCTAAACTATCAAACCACAGTTTTTCCATTTTTTTTAACTTCCGAAACGATAATGCCATATCCCAAGTTTTTGCCTATTTCCTTGGCTTAAAATGAACGTGAAGGACAATAATTCCTGGCAGGGTCCGTGACAATATGAGCTTTTGCCTGAAATTTATTGTTCAATTAAGTTAAAATAATAGAAAATTTGTATTGCTATCCTTACTACCATATGGCACCAAAACATTCACAAATGCCTTCAAGTTTCCTATGCTAAAAACCAGCAGGTAACTCAGCAGCTGCTAACCACCTGCAGACATTCCTGTAATGGCAATAAAACCCGAATATGAAAACTGCTTGAAGCCTGCGCCATTAAGCAAACCAAAGACCAAACATACAGCGATGTTTTCATAGAATGTCATCCAATGCTCTATTGCTCTCTGATATTAGTCTTATTATTTCACGTCGTTGAGTTGAAAGTGATAAAAAAAATGGAAATTTTTTGAATAAGAAAAATAACTCTGAAACAATTATCATTAATCTAAGAGTCTGATCTCCGAATTTTGTTGGATTCAATATAACTTTAGGATATTCATACTAAAAAATTTAAAAGGACTAAACTCGAACAACAGAAACTTTAGGGGACCTAAATGTAATAATAACATCTGCAATTGAGTACCTTACAAATATATTTCTATCAATTTTTAAATTCTTAAACCTTTTCGAACTGATAGGATTATGAAACAATAAATTCATTTTGATCGGTTTCTCGAGCTGAAGCAGTAATCGGAGTCCCACAGATCATAGCGAAGCCAATTGATTAATTTCAAAAATATTATATCAATGGCCAGTAGTATTGGGGGAGGTGAAGAGCAATTGCAGAAGATGGCGGAATTGAGCAAAACCCTAAAAGAAGGAGAGAGAATTTTGGCGCCTACTCGAAGACCCGACGGCACTCTCCGCAAACCCATTCGTATTCGGGCGGGGTATGTTCCCCAAGAGGAAGTCGCCATTTACCAGTCTAAAGGTGCCCTGGTATGTCCGAAGTTTATATATGTAATGTATGCGTTTCCGTGCGTGTAATTGTCTTCTTTTCGCTTGTTTTAGTGATTAGAAGAGGAGGAGAAGAGGGATGGCATCAAATTTTAGGTTTTTTTGACGAGTATGTCTTGCTTATGTCTATGTATGAGTAGATGGATGGATGGTGGATGGTACATGATATTTGGTGCTTTGTGAATGTGGGAATTTTTTGCCTATGGAGCTATGGGTGAGTTTTGGAGCTCAAAGTTTCATGTTAAAGTACTTAAGTTGTTGTTTAATGACATTATACATTGCCACATTCCATCAGTACCGTGGCTGTGCCATTCAGCCAAAGTCCAGTGGAGACTTTGTTCTCTTGAGTTAGTGGATTCAAAGTTTTATTTCATTGAAATATCTCCTTGCAAACTGTTGTTGCTGTCGTTGTTCTTTCATTACAATTTATTGGCATTGATCTTTGTTTTAATTGATGGTGCAGTGGAAAAAGGAGATGGCAGCATCACAAGTAGTGCCTCCAGGTTATGATCCACCTGCAGATGCAAAACCGAAGACTAAGTCAGCAAAGAGAAATGAACGAAAGAAGGAGAAACGACTACAAGTATGAAGCTTGTTGCTGTGATCTTTCACAAACTTCTGTTCAATGGTTTTTGCAATTTTTGGCTCATTGCATTTTCTTGCTTGGTTCATTAAACTTTCTCACAAAGAGAGATGTTTCATTTCTTTTGCTTTCTGTGAAACTTTAGTTGGCCTAGATTTGCATGTTAGCCTAATGTTTATCACAAAATTTTGTCCCTTTGCCATTTTTGCCTATGCTTGAGCCGTGGCTCATTTCAAGCCTCCAAGCAGATGGTTGTTTTCTTTTCTTGCTTAGTTTTTGCACCATTGCAGGGAGGCTATATGATATGGTTTGTGAATATCTGTACATTAACACTTAGTATTTCATTTATCAATTATTTATGGCAGGCTGCTCTTGAAAAGGGCAAGAACTCAGAAGCCATGGAAGATAATGAGAGTAAAGGAGAGGATGTAACAAAGGAAGATTTAGATGATGGATCAGAGTCTGTTAAATCATTGACATCTCAGATGACTGATCTTGCGTTTTCCCCAAATCCTGTATCAGCCTCTCCTCCCTCAAACTCAGTGGAGGCCTCAGATGTTGGGCAACCAGTTCTAGACCTTGATAAAAAGATTCGAGCACTTAAAAAGAAGGTATGGTTCTTTACACTTAATATGTAGAAGAATTTGTCCAGCATTATAGTACACAATAGTAAACTCTTGAAATAAGAAAAATTCAGTCTTTTCAGTGTAAAAACCTTCACCTAAAATCAAATCCGTCCTTTACATTAAAATAAATAAATAGATCTGGCCTTTCAGTTCAAGAGAGAGAAGACTCATCACTATCAAATGTGATCATTGAAGAATCATCTGTGATGGGAGGAGAACAAATTGGAAATTGCTTTTTGAAGTTTTGAAATAAATAAAGAGAACTGGAAATGGAAAAATATATATAATTTCATATTCCACTTATTCTAATTAATAAAATCTTTCTTTTCTGTTTACTAAATTGACCTCATATGCATTTATATATTGAATCTTTGTGCATTTAGTTGGCATGACCACATGGTCTCGGTGGCTTTAGTTCTGCATATGGTGCAGAATTCTGAAAAAAGTTCTAAAAGGAAGTGTAAAATAAGAACTATTCCTTGCTACTTTGTTACTGTAATGCTTGGTCGAGTTTCTTCAAATTATGTGTATGGTTTATGCTATTTTCTGCCTCTTTCGAGTATAATGAAAGACATTGCTATCAGTTTACATTTTGCTGCACATCCCTCTTAACTTGTTCCCTTGCTGTGGGTCTCCATATTTGAATTAATGTGGACACCTGCACTTTCTTTCTTTCCTTTCTGGATCAGTTGCGCTCCCTGAAGAGGCTTTAAATAAGATTTTGGTTCTTGTGCAAGGATGCATGGGGTGTCTGCAGTTTGCACGTATCTAAAGAGGCTTGTTTGCAGAAAAAAACCAACTATATGCATTGTTTATGCAAATTTCAACTTTATATTGTTCCTAAACATGTTTGATGACTGAGAGTGACTTGAGCCTGCAGTTTCTGCACTTAATAACATGGAGGGCGGCATGGTGCTCTTATGCTTTTTGAGGAAAAACTTGTTCTAAATCCGGCATGCTTTTGATAACTAAGAGTCAAATTTTATGTGTTTTTTTATTTAACGTGAATATTGGTTTTCTTATGTAGATTCGACTAGCAGAAGCTCAACAACAGGAAACTCCTCAGCAAGATATGAAGCCAGAACAGTTGGAAAAGTTGGCAAAACTGGAAGGCTGGCGTGATGAGCTAGAACTTTTGGAGGGTACAAAGGCCGAGTTGGCAGCATTGTGACTTTGTGTTTACGTCGCTGAAGAAACAGTGTGGCTCATTTACAATTTTATGGGATGCAAAAACTTCATTTTGGAACAGAGGTCAATCTATCAAGGTTTTCTTCTAAAAATTGCATGTGGATTTGCATTGATGCATATGACCATGTTTACTTGGTACTCTTGTTCCCCTGCTACGCACATCAATGATTTGATGCCAATTCGGCTCCTCATTAGCTTAACCAGTAAAGCTTAGTTTGCTTGCCATTCCACGAGGAAGAAAATGTGAATCAAAATTTTCGGTTTTCAGATTATTCCTCTCATTTAGATACATTAACGATCCATTTCATCATTGCCTTGTAAAAGCAACATAGTTGCTGGCCATAACCAGATTAGCATACCATGCGCATGTCTATTACGATGTTTTCGTGTTTATTAAACACTGCAATCCCAAGTTAACAATACCATAGATAAGAATCAAAGGAGGATCGAGGGTGTTGCAATTTCAAATGGATTTAATACTATAACAGAAGATTTTACAGAGATAATGAGGCAAATATGTTAAAAGATATCAAAATTTAGTGCAACAGTTGCAGAATAAAATAAACCAGCTAAACACCTGGACTACAATAACAAGAAAGCAATACAAAACTAAGAAACCAGCACCAACGGTAATGCAGCTGCATTTTACTTTGTGATAACACATTGTCATCCATAACAACCAAGATGGTAACAATACATGAAATTTGAATGATTGTCTTCAATCTGGAAGCATTGGTCTAGGCGCATTCAACATCAGATTCTTCTAGTCCTTCCTTGTAAAGTTCAAAGTCCTCAGGACTCCATCTACATATCAAGTTTAATCGGAAAGTAGCCATTTTGATACCCAACAAACGCTGCAAACAAATAAAAAACATCATCAAAATTAGAGTTCCAGTGGACAAAACCATCATCAAATGATTGCAAGTAACAGCAGATGACCGACTAAAACTAAATACTAATCCAATATTTTCTTCACTGATATTATATTATGACTAGGAATGGAGGTATGAAACACAAACAGACCAGTATCCGAGCAGACTCTGGTGACAAAGGCTTTCCTTCCTCACAGACAACAAAGTCTGAAACAAGTTCCACAACACCTGTACAACACAGATCAAGTTAGTATGCAAATTCAATCGAAATGGATTCCATACATGTATGATGGAAAAACATAAGAGACAAATAACTGACCTTTGTTCAACCGAACTGGCATGCCTTGCTTGCGCAGAAAGGGCTCCATCTCATGTGTGAACTGATCCAAAGGACCTTCCAAAAGTTCCACCTGGAAACATAGAAAGCAAGCGCAAACCCAGAGGTTTAATTATCAAATAACATAAACAATGTAATGCAGAACAACAAGATATCATCTTTCTCAGACCTTTTCAGTTGCAATGGTTCCTGTCTTTGCAAAGTCGTTTTCTTCAAATTTATTAAACAGGCTGCACAAAAAATGGTAAGGAAACTAAAAAGATACATAAAAGGGAAGCTGAATTCGAATCATAACATCCTAAACATATACCTTTCGACTTCTTCTCTTGTCAGGTTGGTAAGAAAAAGTCCAGCATCCCCACGCAGAAGCTTTAAAACAATTCAACAATGGCGGTAATTGTAACATAGAAAAGCAACAAAAACTTAAACATAAACAACAAAGACAAACACACACACACACACGCGTTATTACAATGTACCTTAGAGACTTTGTAAAGACCTGGCCTAATCTCATCAGAAGCAGAACGGCCTAATGCAACTTGCATAACTTTATTTGAACCAAGGAAAAATCTGAAGAAAAACCCACACCATTTAACAGAAACGATCAACAATAAAGGGGAAATGGGTTCTTGAATTTAAAATTTTTACCTGCTGCTAGACTTGAGCTGCTCTCTAAACTCCTTGAATTTAAGATTTCTCATGTTCTCGAAGGAGAAAACATAGATAGAATTGTAACTTTCCGCAGATTCCCTTATGGAATTCACGATTGATTCTTTATGTTCCTTACCCTTCTTCTTCGTCTTTGATAGTGAAACTGCAAATACCACGTAAATCAAACATTTTATAACATTATAACCACAATATATATATATATATATATATATATATTAATGGTGGAAGATTTAAAGAAGACAAACCTATCTTGTTACGCTTAGACTTTGGCATCGTCGACGATCACGGTTATCTGGAGAAAATATTGTGAACGAGCTATTGTTTTACTCTGCTTATGCACCTCGTAAAACCCTTCTTTAATGTGCCTTCGGTTCTGGATTTTTAGGGTTTTGATATTTATATAGGCGGCTGTCTTTTTCTTGCGAGGTTAGATTCAGATTGGGTGGACGAATTCGGTTTCCATAGTTACTGGATCTTAGTATCTTACCGTCTCAGCCCAAATCCATTGGATTTTTTTAATTGACGTCCAAACTTATTTCTTTGCGGACCCAATCTCAGACCTCTCAAATACAAGTATAGACAAATTGTCTAGAGACGGGTATAAATGATACTAACGTTTAGTAAATTGTTCGTGAATCGTTTGTATAATATTTGTTTAGGTTCGTTTGTTAAGTTAAATAAATGATTCTCTAAACCATGAATATAATTTTAAATTAATCCTTAAACTTTTAAAATTTTAGTTTCATCCTTAAACTATGACATTCATTCTAAATTGGTCCATAAACTTTTTGAACATTTCAATTTCATCCCAAACTATACGTATATACTAATCACATCCATTGTTAATAAAATCGTTAGACCAAGTTATATTATTATATGTTTGAAAAATCAAAATTTATGTTAGAATATGATTGAAATCAATATGTATTTGGAAGAATTTGGAATATTCAAAAGTATGGAGACCAATTTAGAAAGACGGTCATAGTATAGGATGAAATTCGAATGTTCAAAAGTTTAAGGATTAATTTAGAATGAGAGTCATAGTTTGAGGATGAAATTAGAACATTTAAAAGTTTAAGGACGAATTTGAAATAAGGATTATAATTTGGGGTACATATGATGGAACTAACTCTTACATTATTATTTTATCTCACTGTTTCCATTTTCCAAGACTTCACCGGTGCAATTCCAAAAACCATTTTCTCCTCTCTCCACAAGTTCACACCATAAAAACTACGTCGTTTCATCCATTTACTTAACGTCATAAAACAGAAAGAAAGCTGTTCTGTTTATTTGACAAACACTTTTCCTTCTGGTTTTCTGATAGGCTTTTTTAATTTGATTCGCTTAACCTCGTACCGCGATAGAATTGAGGGACGATGAAGCGTCGAGAGCCGTTCGATTGAGTTTCTTTTACTTCTTTAATCCAATTTAGGCAGTTATCGACCGATAATCCTTATGATAATCTGAGAATTTCGTTTCCTTTTACTCCGTTACTATCCTGTTCATAGTCAAAAAGAGAGGAAAACCTGGGTTTTTGAGAAGGTTTGTAGAAGGGATAGGAATATTTTAGGGTTCGGTTTTTCTGGTTATTGACCTTATTTGGTCTAGGTTCTTCATTCAGAGTCTTGTTTTGTAATTTCTTGTTGAAAAGGGTAGAATTGTCATCTTAGATATGTGGAGGTCTTGGTCTTCTTAGTTTGTTCTTGTTGGGTTTTGAAGAACTCTAGAAGCAACCCTTCTATTGATATTGAAATATTAAGGGGAAAAAATATAATCAGGTCCTTTGAATTGCAGAAGCGCTTGTTTAGAGAGTTACAGTTTTTGAGAAGGATTTTTGGAAAATCTTCAAGTATATTTTATTGCTCAGCAATGCCATAATTCTAGTTTCTTTGAATTATTAATTTGATTGGCTGGTTTGATAACCTTAGATGTGTAAATTGTATAGGACGAACACGAAGGATAAACTTAGTTACAGTGTAAAAAGAATAATTCTGAAATTGGGAAATTTTGGGTTTTGGTTTTAGTACTTAGAAACTTTAGGTTCATGTTAAGTAAGGTATTTGATAAGTGAAGCTGGACTTAAGGGAATATAACAATTTTGGGAATCGAGAAGTTATAATCTGGAAAAAGAGAAACAAATTTTGGAAATTCTTTCTTTCTTTATGATCATGTTTAGCAAGAATTATGGAAAAAAGTGAGCCTTCATTGATACCGGAGTGGTTGAAGAGCGGCGGGAGTCTTACTGGTAGTGGCAATTCAATTCACCCATTTACATTATCATCTGTGTTATTTTAGTTTATATCTTCAGGGTGTATTATTTCTTTCTTGCGTTCACAGCTTTGATAAATCTGTGTTGGCTGATTTCCTTAGGAGAAATTTGATAATAGCATTTGAAGGATGCATATAACACTCAAATTGTTACTGTATATGCTTCTTTTTCCTAAATGAGCATCTTCATTTTGCTTGAAAAAGAGAACAATAATGTAAATTTTTTAAGTTTCTTTATTTTACTTTTAGAGGTATGTATACGGAGGTTTATTTTCTATGTAGTTGCCTGCAACTTCATTTTGCTTGAAAAAGAGAAAAATCAACATCTATGTGCATGCTTTATATTTCAAAATGTGCATCTTCATTTTTTCTTGAAAATGAGAACAATATTGTAAAATTTTTAAAGTTTCTGCTTTATTTTACATTTAGAGGCATGTCTCTAGAAGTTGATTTTCTATGTAGTTGCCTGCAACTTGTTTACCTAGTTTTTGATGGCACTCTTGACAGTTAGCAAAGTTTGAAATCTATCTTCTACTTTTCAAGCAAAATTGAGAATAGATTTCTATATTCTAATCTTTGATTCAATTTTTTTCATAGACAACCATTCTGCATTGAGGCATGCCAGAAATAAGTTGTCTGTTGATAGTGATGGTGATATAGGCCGGACATCTGTTTTGGATAGGGCCTCTTCTGCCTATTTTAGGAGGAGTTCTAGTAGCAAAGGTTCTTCTGACTCATGGTCTTATAGCAATTTTCCTAAAGGCAACTGGGAAAGGGATTGGGAAAAATTTACTAATGTTCACCATGATAGGAAGAATGCTGTTTTCAGTGACCATGGGAACCGAATCTATTCTGATTCTGTGGATAACTTGCTGCCAAGCATATCTGAGAAGGATGTCTTACAGCGTTCAAAGTCTATGATAACTGGCAAGCGCAGTGACACCTGGCCAAGAAAAGCGACAAATGAATTTAGTAGCAACAGAAAAAGCCATCACAGCAGTGGTAATGGTAAGCTTAGCACAGCTGTCCGTGAAAAATCTGCTTCTGAGCGTGATTTTCATTCGCTTGGTGCTGAGGAAAGGCTGGTAGGGTCTGAAGTAGGAAGGGTTTCGTCTCCTGGCTTGATTAATAAATCTGAATTCGAACGTGATTTTCCTTCGCTTGGTGCTGAAGAAAGACAATTTGGGTCTGAATTAGGAAGAGTTTCATCTCCTGGCTTGAAAAATCCTGTGCAGAGCTTGCCATTGGGGACTTCACCTGGCATTGGCAGTGATTGTAGGACATCAGCTCTAGCAGACATTCCTGTGGGTGTGGGAAGCAGTGGCAGAGGTGTGGCAATTGCTTCACCAAATGTTTGTGCATGCTCGACTCCTACTGTGACAATGGGCCTTAATATGGCTGAAGCAGTGGCTCAGGGGCCTACTCGTGCTCGTACACCTCCCTTGGTTACTTGACCAATTCTTCTGTTCTTAAGTTTATTCATTAGAATTATATTAGTGCGGAAATAAGATATAATGTGTTCCCTGTTGTAGTTAAATGTTGAAACACAAAGGCTTGAGGAGCTGGCTATCAAACAATCAAGGCAACTAATTCCCTTGGTGACAATATCGACACCTAAAACTCTGGTGAGCTATTGTTAAGCTTTTCTGTGTGTTTGTTTTCTTATTACAAGTACACTTTGGGGTTATATACTGTGTTAGAGATCTTATTCTAATTTTCTTTATAAAACTAGATTATGACGTCAACCTAACTGCTGAATTTTATGCTTATTGAATTTATATTAGGATAAGATTTTTAAAGGTTACTTATTTTACTTTTATATGTGTGTTTATTCACTTCCTATTTTCAATAGGTGGCCAGTCCTTCAGAGAAATCGAAACCTAAAGTTGGACAGCAGCTGCGTCCTTCAGTCTCTGTTAACTCCACACGAGGTGGAACTTCAAGATCTGATGGCATAAAAATTTCTAGTGAGAGCAGGCTTTGCATACTCAAACCATCACGAGAATCTAATGGTGTCTCCTTAGTAACCACAAAGGATAACTTGAGTCCTACTAATGGAAGCAACAAACTTGTGAATAGTCCACTAAGCTTCTCTCCTTCAGCTGCTGCATCTGCTCCCTTTAGGAGTTCAGGCAACAGCCCCAGGTCTGCCCCTGCTGAGCGTAATCAGACTCAATTGCGGTTAACCATGGAGAAGAGAGCAACTGCCCAAGCCCAGAGTAGGAATGACTTCTTCAACCTTCTAAAAAAGAAATCTACTACGGACTCTGCTTCTTCTGTGCTTGTTCCCCGCCCTGCTGTGTCACAACCTGTCTCTGAGAATCTAGATGAACTTGGCACTGAAGATTCCAATTCTGCTGTTACTCTGAAGGATGCAGGTGTTCTAGCACCGGAAATCTCAATTGCTGACTTGCCAACTGACAATAGGAGTGAAATGGCCCTGAATGGAGATGCTTATACTGAACCTCAGCACTGTTCTACCAATGGAGATGGGCATTCAAGGCCTGATGTTTTCCTTTATCCTGATGAGGAAGAGGCTGCTTTTTTACGTTCCCTTGGGTGGGAAGAGAATGCTGGAGATGATGATGGTCTTACAGAAGCGGAGATTAATGCCTTTCTCGAGCAGGTAGCCACTTTTTCAAAATCGAACTTTCTCATGCAATTAGGTTCTGCTTTTCTTTGTTTACTCATGGTGAAATCTCGTGTGGCATCTCCTAAAAGATTTTTACATTTTCCCCTGCAGTACTCGAAATTGAAACCGTCTGCAAAACTTTTTCAACGAATGCAGTCAATGAGCCCATTAAACTCTCATAATGGGACTCATGGTGATGTCTCGTCTGGATTGAGAACAATGGATTCCAACGTTGAAGCATTGACTCGTGGAAGTTCTAATTGACTTGGTAAAATTTGAATGCATTGAAGTAGCTGCTCTCTTTTTTACCCTCTTTTTATTATTATTAATATTAGGATTAAATACAAGCAATCTGGTTTTAGAAGAAAGGATGGGATACAACGTGTCTGTTGCTGTTGTGATAGTGGATTGGAACTTAGAGCATTGATGAGTTCTTCCAGGTTTTTTCACATAGGACTTTCTAAGATATATAAAAGCAAGGTTGAGGGAGAGAGAGTAGGAATAGGTTTATATTATGCTTGCAATGTAAGAACTTAGTGCGGGGTAAATAGTTTTTACTGTCTCTGGGTTTTAACTTGTGGTTGATGGGGACACAATTCAACAAATAGCTTATGGTTTATATCTTTTATCATTTGAAATTGAAAAGAGAGGAAAGAAAAACTAGTTTTGTATGTTTTGGGGGGTACCCTTTTTTCATTTCTTCTGTTCCAACTCAGATTCCATGTTAAGATTTAAGGAATGAGGATACCATTTCCTTTCAAATAGAAGCAATCAGAGATGGTGTCTTCATTTGGGTTTGGAGACAAACTTTAAATGACCTGAAAGTTTTAAAATCCGAATTGAATTGATTCAAACCATTTCGACCTGGTTGATTGACAATTCCAATTATATCTTATCCGATATTCATCCGGTGTCCCGAGTGATAGAGGTTAATTGTGCTATTACGGTGATGAAGGAACAGGTTGGTTGGTTTAGATTATTTTTGAGAAGTAAACACTCTTAGAAGAACGTGTATAGATGTACATCTTTAACTAATTTGGTACGTGAAAACTATTTTTCATCCTTACTAGTGTTGTGGATTGCTAGTGCTTTTTATTCAAGGCTAAAACCACTATTTGGTCTTTCGATCTCATTCAAGACAAATAAAAGACAACTTTCTTATCATATTTGGTGTAATTTGTTACCAGTCAAACATGTTTATAGAATTAAAATATCTTATAATTATACCCGTGTATAATTATTAAGATAGCAACTATATTTTCATGTAATTGTATTTTAGTGTTTAAACATAATTTAATTAATAAAAAAAACACTACAACCATTATATTTAAAAAGCAATGTGATGATAATTACGTATAAAAGTTTTTTAAACACATTTAGATGGATGTATTACTTATTACTATAACACATCGTATCATATTAGATTTACGTAGTATTATTTAGATTTTTTATATAGTCATTATAAAGTAATATCTATTCAGAGTTTTTTTAATCTATTTATAACATACACATCCTACAGATATAGCTGTTCTAATTTATCTCTGAGATCACTTGATGAGTTCAATATTATTTCAAACTTATCATTAATATTATTTATGTTTTAGTCACTGATTTGATTTCTTTTTAGTATTTTGGTGTGATACTATACTAGTATACTTTATACTTTTGGTCCATATAATATTCATGGACACATTGCACAAACAATATTGTTCAAAAACTAAGGTTATTTATAAAGAATACATCACCTTTTATCATTATAATTATATTTTTAACTTTTTGATTTAAATTATCAGACCAGACAATATTAATTTTCTGCCAGTTTGGAGTTTTTAAATAAATTAAATGATCCTTTCCGATTCCTAAAACATGATTGTTTCCCTAAGCCCTATAATTAAGTATAATTTGAGGATGATATTGTATCCACCGGATTAAAGAACCAATTTGGGTCAACTATTAATTTGTTTTCCCCCCCTCCACTTCTCATCAATTTCGAGAAGTGATGGGTTCTCGATTACCTCAATTAATAAAATTAAATCATAATCCATTTGGATTAAAAAATTAGTTAATTAATTGATAACGTTTAATTTCAAAATTTTATTTCCAGATCATCGTTGCAATAATGATATGATCACTGTTTTTTACTACTATAATAATAATTAATTTAAATTTTATAGAAAAATTTGATTAGAGCGTATAATCCTAAAAAAAACTATGATCAAAATTGATTATATGAAGCCTAAATTAGTTTACAAGATTTCATTTCTTTATATGAATAAAGTAATTCCTGAAGATCCAATCCAAATAATGCCATGTGCAATTGGATATATGTAGCAGCCCCATGAGTCAAACCTTGAAATAAATAAGAATCTATTTAATGAACAAAATTAGAAATCAGATAAAATAGTTTTAAAAAAGAAGATAGATTTTAAAATATTCAAAGGGTAATTAGGGGGTAAATGTTCAAGAAGGCTACAAGCACAAGAGTCTCCCGTTGACAATGGTCCCATGCATTGATCTCCACAAAATAGCAACATCTGTTTATTTATCTAATATGTAATACAATATATAAACCATAGTTTCTAAATCACCATTCACTAATAAAAACGACATATAATATGTTTCTCTACTGTTGTAGCACGTTTTCTTTTAAATTGATGCATCTATGCACTTGACGTTTATTTGAATATCATATTAATCCATCTATGATTTGAATCCTCAAAATGTTTTTTTCCATATTGATAGGTGCTTATAATCATCCCAAATAGGTCGCATTTGATAGTGATAAAATTGATTGTCAATGTATTGTCATCGTTATATTCATTTTTGTGTTACTATCTATGATGCTTATTCTTCACTTACCGATAGTGATGTTTATTTGTATCTTCTATTTTTAAATCATTTGACTGAATTTTAATCATTTTCACGTACGATTATATTTTCATTATTTAGTGGTTAATTTGTGTGTCTTTATATGTAATTTCAAAGACAATTGTTAGTTGTTATGCTTAGTTTACTGAATTTATTGCAAGTTTTATTTTTTATTATTGATTTTATTGTATTTTTTTAAAAAATCAACAAATTCATCTGTTGTTATTAATTAAGAAGACTTTGAAAGATATGATATAATACTGCACATATATTTACGTTGTATCTTATGTACTTATCTTTTTTAATATACACAACTTTGTTACCCATAATCAATGCTATATATATATATAATACTATATAGATTATCAATGGCGGATCCACCTTTAATCTAGGGTTGACATATATTTTATTCAATTAACTATTTATTTTATTGATTGTGTCAATCTAGAAATTTAATTGGGCGACTCTTGTTCAAATTAATTGGGTAAACCAGGTAGTGACTAGACATATGAGAGGAGCCCTGATCATTAAATGATATTTTATCACTAAGTTATGTTAACAAGGGTGAAATACACAAGATGTCATTAAACTATGTTCAAATAATTATTTTGATCACTGGACTTTCAAAAATTAGAAAATGGTCATTAAATTTATTAAAATATTATAAAATGAACACCGCAATGTCATAATAATAAGAAAATCAATAATTTTAATGATCATTTTGTAACATAACAATGATTATTTTAAAACATTTAGATAAATTTAATGATCATTTTATAATTTTTAAAAAAATTAATAATTAGGAAATATTGAAGTATAATTCAATAATATCTGATATAAATTATCCTAATTCAATCGTTCAAAAGCACAAAAAATGCACGAGGCATAATGTATTGACATAAACATGGATTATTAAAACAAAAAAGGAAATTAATTAAGAGATAGGTGAAGAGATTGGTAATTAAGTTTAGTGTTCAAAATACACATGGATTATATATATTATATTAATGGTCATATGAGGTATATATTGTATAGCTTACAATTTCATGAAATATATGATCCCTAGGCATTCAATGGCCTTGGCCCCCGGAGTTGATGATGGCTTTTCTTTTAATAATATTTTAATCTTCAAGTAGTTTCATTGTAACAATTTTTTATGCAATAATTAATTATGGAAAGTCTTGAAATAAATATCCAAGAAAAAATACAAAGTTTTTTGAACAAAAAAAATCTCATTTATATATTTTCTTAGTTTTAAAACTTGATCTACCTCTAAAATTTTAAATAGATAAAAAATAATATTTTAATAATTAGACGTAATATTTAAAAAAATTAAATTCTTACTTTAGTCTATAAATAAAATTAAGGTATCTACTTCCAAGATCCAAAAGATTGGCATTATATATATATATATATATATATATATAAGGTTGAAAATGGTGATTTGATGGGATTTTTTAATTGAAAAATTAAAACCCTAATCTTAAACTTATGTGTTCAGTTTTTTATTTATATCAGGAAGAAACTCACATATATATATATATATATAATATTTGTTTAATTATTAATATTGTTATGGTGCATATATGTTTTTTTAATTTAATTGATGGGTTAATTAAGGAACCTAATTAAAGTCAAAGCTTAGATGCTTCTCTTACTGTATCTAATCATACCTCTATGAGACGATGGGATTGACTTTGGTGCCTCAAAAGCAGCATTTGCAGAGGAGACAAAGCTAAAGCTAAAACTACAATCTTCTACAAATAATGGCGATATCTTCAGAAGAAAAGGAAATGGAGATTGATCTGTCACTGAAAATAGATGCTAGAGATCAGCAGCATACGGGAGAAGCAAAGATGCTAGTAAATAATAATAATCCAGTAGATTTGCAATACAAAGAGCACCACCAGCAGACAACAATCGCTTCCGCAAGGAAAGAAGAAGAAGAAGATGGTGCACCGTTAGAGGTAGCTAAAGATCATTGTGCTTGCTTAAATTGAATATATGAAGTCCTGTAATATTATACGTGTTATGTATGTATGTTTTGTAGTTGTCTATGCTGCAAAGGGAGATGAATCGCATGAAAGAAGAGAACAAAGTGTTGAGGAAGGAGGTGGAGAAAACTTTGCAGGATTACAATGATCTTCAGATGAAGTTTGCTGTTATTCAGCAAAATAACACAGTGAAGGTGTGTTTAATCTTTCTTATTTCAAATTATTTTCATTCCAGTTTCCTTCTGTTGATCTTGATTCTAGAGTTTATGAATTTTTTTGATGTTTTAGGACCCTCAAATCTTTCTCCAACTTAATGGAACCGAAGGTTTGATCCAAGAACAACAGCAGGCAATTGAAAGAAACTTAAATATCCTACATGGGTCGCCATCACAAGATGATGATGACGATGAAGAGAATAATGAACTTGGGTTGTCGTTAATGCTGAAAACCAGTTCAAGTCAACGAGGAATCAGAGGAGAAGATCGGAATAAAGAAATTCAAGAAACCCCAGATGTTGAATCGGTGAAGAACAAGGTTCAACAATGTCATTCATCTGCGATCACGAGCCATGATGTTTCCACATCCAACAGGAAAGCTAGGGTTTCCGTTAGAGCAAGATGTCAAACAGCTACAGTAAGTACATAACACTTCAACTTGAATGATATAATTGGAAATAGGGTATAAGTTAACTTAGCTTGAACGAATAAAATTATATTTGTATTTTATTTTTTTAAAGATATTTGTGTTCGGTTAGTTCATTAAATGAATATAAAAGATTTGTTCATACTCGTTTATTAAACTTAATAAACGAACGATGTACGAACGATTCACGAACAGTTCAAACCCCTAATTGACAGATCAGTTTGAAGTTAAAAGTTTCTTTTGCTAACCATTTTTGCAGATGAACGACGGGTGTCAATGGAGGAAATACGGCCAGAAAATTGCTAAAGGAAACCCTTGTCCACGAGCTTACTACCGTTGCACGGTAGCCCCAGGCTGCCCGGTCAGGAAACAAGTACGTACAGTCTCATATTATCCACTTACACTCCATTGTTATGCCAAGACACTTTCAGATTTTGATTCTCTTTGCGATTCAGGTGCAACGATGCCTGGACGACATGTCGATTCTCATTACAACATACGAAGGAACTCACAATCATCCACTCCCCGTGGGTGCAACCGCCATGGCTTCGACTGCTTCATCATCTGCTTCACCTTCGACGTTCATGTTAGTCGATTCGAGCCATGGTGTCCCGAACCCTAACTTCATCAACTCATCATCGGCTGCCCTGAACGACCCTTCAAAAGGAATGGTCCTTGGCCTCACAACCAGTCACCATTTCGATCATCAAATGCTACCCACACTTCCATCGGCTCATTATCAACAAGCTTTCCCATGGATGCCGAGCAGATAAAACCCACCACAACAATGGCAGATAATACAAGCCATCTGGAGATAAGATAAGTAAATGTTAAAAGCAAGTTTACATTTGGTTAGTACTTGTATTGAAATATTTCTTTTTCTTAGTGGGATTTCATATATTTATATACTCTTTTCAGCTGCGAAAAAAGTCATATTTTATGCCCATGATATATTTTATTAACTGTGTATGAAATTATAAATTAACATTAAATGTGAATCCGACCTCTAAGTGGTAAAAATAAGTATTATTATTCTTATAGATTTTAGATTCAAGCAGTTGTATTTGCAGGGTATGTGTATTATTAATAATTAAGAAAAATTTTAAACAGATACTATATCGTAATCACCCTAGACTATTCAACAAATAAATTAACATTAAATATATATCTTTAAATTAATAATAATGACTACTTTTTAAAAGAATATATGATTATTTTCATAATCTTAACTTTTTAATAATTTTCTTTAATTTTAATACATTTGAAAAACCTATGGAGTTAGAAGTTTTTGAAGATTAATATTAGGGTAAATTACTTTAGATATCACCCCGAACTTTAATTTTTATATTGAATTCATCATAAAATTTAAGACTGATATAATTGAGGATTAAATTTTAATTTTGTATGCAATCATGTCACTTGGTCGTTAAGCTGTAAACAATGTGTTGATATAGTTGTTTTTTTATTTTAATTGTATCAAATTTACCACTAAACTTTAAAACACATGAAGTTTAGGCACTAAATTTTCTGACCTTTGTTGGCGGACAATCGCCGCCCGTCACCAGTTGTCATTCGCAACAATATCCAAAATTTTGAATTTTATTCTCTTTCTTCTCATCGGATTGATTTTTCTTTAAGACCCACTCAAATGGATGAAAATACATATAAAGGTTGGACGTCCTAATACTTTGATCTCCTCCGATGATCGTCTGATGAGACTAATTTTGAATTATTTTGTTTGATTTCTTGAAATTATGTTTCATATCGTTCAAAATTTTGAACACCTCAATACCTTCAAATTCAAGAAAGCTTCTAAACCCAAAAAATTAATAGATTATTTGTGTTTAATTTCGTGAGTTTTGAAGAGATTTTTGAGAATCTAAACAAATAGAGTGATTGATAACGATGAAACAAGTTCATCAGGGCTTAGGATGGTTTTAAAAAACGTAGAAAAATGACATGAAAACCCCAAACTTTAATAAAGAAAGAGATAATGTGTAATGAAATAATAATTTCTTTTATTTTCACGACAGCCCACGTTAACACCACATCAGCACAAAACTGCCATGTCATCCAGTTATTAGTGGGTTAATAGCCCAATTGTATAATTGAACCTAAAATCAAAGTTCAATGGTACATTTGAATCAATTTAAAGTTCAGTGATAAAATCGACACTAAACTTAAAATTCATGGTATATGATATAGTTTATCCGTAATGGTAATACTTGGTAAATTTTAATTATTATCGAAGGAGGTGCAAAATGTGGTTTTTACTATTATCAACATCGGGGGTATTTTATTAATTTAGGGGGGGGGGAATGAAAAAAGTGGACAAATTATCACTTTGAAATTAACTTGGTTAAGAAGCAAAGTTTAACTAAGAATTCAAATTCCAAAATCCTCAAATCTTTTACATGTATTGAAGTTTCACTCGGTAAAAAAAATATCGGACAAATAGTTTCTTTTAGAAGCTACTGATCAGTACTTGTTGATGAAGATATGAAGATGAATTGCAGTGACCAGCGACAATGGACGTGAGCATTGCTTTGTTTACATCTTTAACTGCATGTCGTTTACTATGCATTTTATAACCTTGTCATTTACTAAACATGATCACAGAGAACCTTGGACTTGCAATCAGGAAACGGACGCATGATTCTATGCCAGAGGATTATGTTTTTATTATAGGTAAGAATTATGTTCCCTGTCAAGGTTCAAGACGACTAAGAACGAGAGACAAAAATTTTGATGTTTTTGCATTATGTACTTCAATCTACAAAGGTGTAGATCAATTACATGATGAGAAAAATATTGCTTCAAAAGCTACATGTTGGCAACTGCTGGCTTATTTCTTGCTGATAAAGATATAATGATGAGCAATGACAGGTGCCTACAGAGAGGATCAATGCTTTCTCCACTTCTTTTCTCGGTTTCATTTTGATGAGAGCAATTACATATTCTATAAAGTTTGCATCACAAGGCAAGATGAGAAGACCATCGCCTGGTAGTCCAAACTCTTCTGCTGCCAAGTTGAATAGCTCCATCACAATTTTGTTCTTTAGATATTCCAAAGGAAGCACAAAGCGTTTCTGATCCACACTGTATACAACAAAGTGACCCTTTCCGACCACCGATGATGTGCTGCAACTGGTTGTTTCAGCGTCCCTGGTGGTTCTGGGTAATGTGATTATTTTTCTCCTAATTGAAGCCATTTTTTGCCATTTTCTTGCTAACTTGATAAGCTTCTTGGCACTGATCATCTTGCTTTTCTTATTTTAGTAGGAAAGACTCAGATGAAAGAAAAGAAGAGGGAACTTTTAGGTCTTAGATATCTGATTGCTAAATGCAGCTGTTGTGATTGGTATGAGGCAATGGAAGTGGGATGAATATATAATCACAAGGCCTAGAGACAGTCCCTTTAATGAATTATTAGATTTCAGGTATTCATAGGAAACAAAGCCATGTGATGGCAGATATTAGGTCTAATCTGAAAGGTGGAGCGTAGAAGGGGATGCAGACACATCTTTGTCTATCTGCCAAGTGTTTTAACAACAATTTGGTCCACTGTTGTTGCAATATTATTGATTCATAATTGATTCTTCATCACAGATTTCAACACTTTTAGGATCCTCTTTAGATAAGATTTATTGCTGTAAATAGTAACAGAAAAACCTTCACTCAAGCAAATTGCCACCTGTCTTTTGTCCCTCTCAAATCCAATCTGTTTCAAGACCTTCCTGTCACTTATCCATGGGGGCAATCTCTGTCATGTAGTTCTCATTGAAGATCTGGTGGATGCAAAACCATGAATGTATGTATGTCAAGATAGACAAAGACAATCCCTTAAATGAAATTACATAATGCAGGGGTGCAAGATTTGTACTTGAAAATGTGAGGTGGAGAGGCATTGTTTGGGAGATGGGGATTTCTAGTTATAGACAACAGCATGTTGCAATTGAACATGCTGTTGCATCACATTATAGTTTTAAGCAATTTAGAGTTCACCTATAATTACACTATGGTGGTTTAGATCATTTACATTTCTATAGTGTAAGTTGTTCCAGTATCCACAAACAAGCTACTGTTGGCGTGTCTGTCCCTGATGGAAAGTGGTGCAAACGGAGTACCGATAGGAAAAATGGAACTACGCAGAGCTTTCTCCAGGTGTCTTCCCATCCCTTGTTGAACAATGGAGACTATATATTTGAACACGGCTGAATCGCAGGGCAACATCATAGGAACATGACTTGATAGGCCGAACTCTTCCTCAGACAACTTTAAGAGTTCAACAAATATGTTATTACTGAGATAAGACAAGGGCACAACATAGCGCTTCAGATCTGTGGTGTAGATGACAAAATGACCTTTTTCAGCCACCAATGGTTCATCAATGCCACCAGCTATAACTTTTGCATTAGACGTCCCCAGTAAAGAAAATCTTTTTCTCCCCTTGACAATCATTTTATGCCATTTCCTTGTCATTCTGTTAAGTTTCTTGCTGCTGATGATCATTCTGGCTGTAATCTCTACCTTACAAATGTAAGTCAGTCTCCAATTTGTCACTTCACCATATATATACATACAAGATTGAGGATCGAAAAAGTCCTTGGAGTTTCCATATTGTCGAGAATTTCTATGCAGAAGTACAACTAGTTATTACTATTTTCCTCGGAGTCTAGAAAAATCCATGATTTGCATTGATATAAACTAAGGAGTTAGATGAGTTGCACCTTTGATGCTACAGCCAAATTATGTTCTCATATGTTGGTTAAAACCTATGCGTTGGAATTCCTTTAGAATTTTTTCGCCACATGTCTTTAGAACTCTTCAGTTTTACAAGAATCCTAGTGTAATTTTTCTGTTTCAATACCCAGAAACAAGTTGCTGGCTTGGCTTGAACACCCTTAAAGCAAAGCACTAGATCATGAACAGTACTTGTAACTAATATATGCTTCATTTGGATGACCGTTGAGATCCTCTCATTGCACCATCGACGTGCACTTTGCTGAGAAACCCGACCTTCTAAATTTGTTTGTGAACCAACAGGCCTAGAGGGATTTCCTCTTAATTTGTCTAGTGGCTAAAGGACACAGCAGATGTTAAATACATCTCCTTTGTTTACCAATGTTAGTGAAAATCAATTTACTATCATCTGTTCTGCCTTCTAGAAATTATCAATTTATTTGGAATGAAGTGAAGAAAACACCCAAAGATTAAAAGTCATACACAAGGTTAGGCACTGTCATTTGCCTTAAAGAATAATCATAATGGACTGAACCTGGCTTCAGTAGAATCATATTACCAATTTGGAGCCTTAAGAAAAAATAGATTAAGATAAAAAAATGGAAAATAAATGATCATATGCCATTACTTTTTTTTATTAAAAAAATAGGGATAGTATATTAATTAATCGAAAATGGTCTCATGGAGTACGTTGTTCAAAATACAATCAGGGCTTTCAAATTCACAAAACATTAACGAGTCTCGATTTAAGGACCATTGTGCCAATGCATGAGCTGAACCATTTGCTTCTCGCCTTAGATATTGAACTTTGATATGCCTGTTGCTAGCTTTTAGTATGTTTAGTTATTGCTATTTTTCTTGGACTCTGGAAAATTCTATGCTTTGCATTGCATTGATATAAACAATGTAGTAAGATGAGTCGCACCTTCGATGCTACAACTAAACAAGTTCTCATATGTTGGTTAAAGCCTATGTATTGGAATTCTTATATTCATATGAATTCTAAATAAGATAAAGGTACCAGAAGGACCTGGAGATTCAAAACAAGAAGGAAATTCTTTGAGAAGTTATAGTTTAGATAAAAGGATGGATGATTGCCATTGCAGATAACTGAAAATGAAACATGTTGTGAAATCAGCCAATAACCACAGAAAAACACACACACAATCAGAGTCTAACACTGATCAAGATTGAAAATCAAAGCAGTAATCAAGAACACCAAATATTTACGTGGTTCGGTCAGGGTGACCTACATCCACAGGAAAGGAATCAATCTCACTAAGGCAATTAAAACAAAGTTTACAAGATTTAGAACCAGAAACAAAAACTCTCTTCTCTAAATCTCTCTGTATGTTTTTTTCTTCCTCAAACCCTCTCAACTCACTTGAATCTTATTTATAACAGATTCTTCCAAGTTGAACGGTTCTGCATCACCAACTGTCACAGCCAAGATAGTTACAACAGAATTGACTTTGGTTTCTAACAGACGCAACCTCTTCTAGAAACATAACATTGCCTTAGTCCAGTAGATGAGAGTCATTACAACAATTCTCCACCTTGACTCTCAATTACAAAGTTCCCCAAAAGGATTCCCTCCTATCAGCCCCAAGGGGCTATTACTTCTCTGTAGAATTTACTAAGTCCAGACAGTGTCTGAACTTAGTTACTGGTAGAGCCTTTGTGAGCATGTCAGCTGGATTTTCTTCAGTGGGTATCTTCTTCACAGTTATTGAACCCTTGGTAACAACATCTCTCACAAAATGAAGTTTCACGTCTATATGCTTAGACCTTTCATGAAAGACCTGGTTTCTGGTCAAGTGAATTGTGCTTTGATTATCACAAAACACTGTTAAAACTTTCTGCTGTATGCCAAGCTCTTCAACCATTCCTTGTAACCACATAGCCTCCTTGATTGCTTCTGTCACAGCAATATATTCAGCCTCTGTAGTTGAAAGAGCCACAACAGATTGGAGATTGGACTTCCAGCTAACTGCAGTACCAAAAACTGTGAAAATGAATCCGGTCAGTGACTTCCTGGTGTCAATGCTCCCTGCATAATCGGAGTCCACATAGCCAACCACCTTTTCCCTTTCATTTTCTTGTTTCTTAAACATCAACCCCAACTCAGTAGTACCCCTCAAATATCTCAGGGTCCACTTCAAAGCTTCCTAGTGAGCTTTTCCAGGATTTGCCATGAACCTGCTTATGATACTAACAGCATAAGCTAAGTCTGGCCTGCTGCAAACCATTCCATACATAATGCTGCCAACTCCACTAGTATAAGGGATATTCTCCATGTATGTTTTCTCATCTTCACTTCCAGGTGCTTGAGAGTTTGACAACCTAAAGTATTGACCAATTGGTGTGGTAACCTGTTTGGCCTCATGCATATTGAACCTCATTAATACTTTCTGTATATATGACTTCTGAGACAGAAACAAACTGTTCTTCTTTCTATCTCTTGTGATCTCCATGCCTAAGATTTTTGTGGCAGGCCCCAAATCCTTCATATCGAATTCTGAGTTGAGCATACCTTTAATCTTCTGGACTTCCTCCTTGCTCCTGCTAGCTACTAACATGTCATCCACATATAGGAGCAAAAAAATGCTTATTTCATCATCTTGCTTCTTTATGTACACACAGCTATCATAACTGCTTCTAGCAAAACCAATCCTCAACATAAATTCATCAAATCTTTTATACCATTGTCTTGGGCTTTGTTTGAGTCCATACAATGATTCTTTAGCAGGCAGACTTTGTCCTTGGTTTCAAGAGTGCAATACCCATCTGGCTGGTCCATATAGATAGTTTCTTCCAACTCTCCATGTAGGAAGGCAGTTTTAACATCTAATTGTTCCAGTTCCAAGTCATACTGAGCAACTAATGCTAAAATTAACCTGATTGAGCAATGTTTTACAACAGGTGAGAAAATCTCATTGAAATCGATTCCTTCAACCTGTGTAAATCCCTTTGCAACAAGTCTTGCTTTATACCTGGCCTTTTCAACACTTGGAATGCCCTCTTTCTTCTTGTAAATCCACTTACATCCTACTACTCGTTGATTCTTCGGTCTATCCACAAGATCCCAAGTTTTGTTTTTCATTAGAGATGCTATTTCCTCATCCATTGCTTCAGCCCACTTGTCCCTCTCTTTACTCTTCAAAGCTTCCTTGTAGTTGTTTGGATCAGCCTCTTCTATTTCTTCAGCAACGCTCAAAGCATAGGAGATCATGTCTGCATGGCCAAATCTCTCTGGTGGTTTGATGGTTCTTCTTTGTCTATCTCTCACCAAGTTGTAATCATCCAATCTGGTCTCTGGTTCGGTTTCTTGCTGGTTTTCTACCTCTTCATGTTGATCATTCAAGACAGTCCCTTGATCGGTTAATGTTTGTTGTTGTTGCAGCTCCACCTCAATTGGAATACCATCCTTAGTAACATTGTTCTTAGTAACATAACTATGCAGATTTTCCATTTTCGACTCATCAAACACCACGTCTCTACTAATGATACATTTCTGTTGACCAGGCTCCATACACCATAGTTTATAACCCTTGGTTCCGTGTGGATAGCCAATAAAGATACACCTCAAAGCTCTTGCCTCCAGTTTATCTTGTCTGATGTGGGCATATGCTAAACATCCAAAACTTTGAGATTGTTGTAGTTGGCTGGTTTCCCATACCACATTTCCAAAGGGGTCTTCATTCCAATAGCTGTTGAAGGGCACCTGTTAATAAGGTAACAGGCTGTAGACACAGCTTCACCCCAAAAACTTTTGGGTAGGCCAGCATTCAGCAACATGCACCTCACTCTCTCTAGGAGAGTTCTATTCATCCTTTCAGCTAATCCATTCTGCTGAGGGGTATTTCGAACTGTCTTGTGCCTTGTAATACCATTTTTCCTGCACAACTCATTAAACTGCTCTGAAAAATATTCCAGGCCATTGTCAGTTCTCAAGTGCTTCAGTTTTGTTTCCATTTTGTTTTCAGTGAGAGTTAACCAATCCTTGAACCGTTCAAAAGCTTCATCTTTTGTTTTTAGAACGAAAACCCACACTCTTCTAGTGTAATCATCTATGACAGATAGAAAATACCTCCCACCTCCATGTGTTTGTGTTCTAGCAGGACCCCATAGATCACTGTGAACATAATCTAATGGTTTCTTTGTGATGTGCTTTCCAGTAGAGAATTTTACTCTAGTTGCCTTCCCCACACACATTGTTCACAAAATTCCAATTTACTAATTTGGTCAACACCTAATAGATTCTGTTTAAACAATTCTTGTAGGCCCCTTTCACTTACATGTCCCAACCTCATGTGCCATAGTCTAGTTTTATCAATTTCAGGTTGGACTACATTAGAGGAGTTACCAATTACAGTTCTCCCTATTAGAGAATATAACCCGTTTTTCCTAATTCCTTTCATGGTAATTATAGAGCCTTTAGTAACTCTAATATAACCATTTTCAGCATTAAAAGAATAGCCACTTGATTCCAACATTCCTAAAGAAATCAGATTCCTTTAAGTTCTGGTATGTACCTGACATGTTGTAATATTCGTTCAGCTCCATCAAACATCCTTATCCTGATTGTCCCACTACCAACCACCCTGCATGCTTTGTTATCTCCAAGCAGTACAGTTCCACCACTGACCAGTTGGAGTGTTTCGAACCAATCTTTATGAGGACACATATGGAAGGAGCAACCTGAGTCAAGAATCCACTCTTTGCTTGATTCTGACTCAGTAATTACCAAGCTTCAGCCGAATCATAGCCATCAGAGACTACACTTACTTCTCCTGAGTCTTTTGGTTTTTCTTGATATTTTTTCTTCCGATCAGGACAATTCTTCTTGAAGTGTCCTTCCTTGTGGCAATGATAACACCTGAACGGTCCCTTTGATGACTGATTTCCACTTTTCTTTCTTTGTTTCGATCTTGATCTGTTCTGATTATTTCTTGAGTCTCTTCTGTCTGATCTTCCTCTAATAGTAAGACCATCCCCACTATTCTCTTCATCCATATCATGTTTCTTTTGAAGTTCTTTGGCTCTTATTAGGGATTGAACTTCTTCCATCGAAATTGACTGCACCCTTCCATAAAGCATCGCATCTTTAAAATGCTCATAACTCTTGGGGATAGAGTTTAATAACAGTAAAGCCTTATCCTCGTCCTCCATCTTAACATCAATGTTTTCGAGATCATCTATGATTTTATTGAACTCATCAATCTGCTCTGTGATTGATTTTTCTTCATGCATCTTGAAGGAGTACAGGCGTTGTTTCAAGAAGAGTCTGTTGGCCAAAGATTTAGTCATATAGAGCAATTCAAGTTTAGCCCAGAGAGCCTGAGCCGTTGTCTCTCTTGACACTTCCCTCAAAGCTTTATCACCTAAGCTCAGAATTATCGCGCTGTGAGCCTTTTCCAGGATACTGTTCCTTTCTTTCTCGGGCATCTCAGTAGGCAAAGCTGTTGGTCCTTGTAGTGCTTCCACAATTCCCTGTTGAACAAGTAAGGCTCTCATCTTTACTCTCCAAAGGCCAAAGTCATTCTTTCCAGTGAATTTTTCAATGTCAAACTTGGCAGATCCCATCATCGAGGTCTGAGTTCCCACAGACGGCGCCAATTGTTGTGAAATCAGCCAATAACCACAGAAAAACACACACTCAATCAGAGTCTAACACTGATCAAGATTGAAAATCAAAGCAGTAATCAAGAACACCAAATATTTACGTGGTTCGGTCAGGGTGACCTACATCCACAGGAAAGGAATCAATCTCACTAAGGCAATTAAAACAAAGTTTACAAGATTTAGAACCAGAAACAAAAACTCTCTTCTCTAAATCTCTCTGTACAATCTGTTTTTTTCTTCCTCAAACCCTCTCAACTCACTTGAATCTTATTTATAACAGATTCTTCCAAGTTGAACGGTTCTGCATCACCAACTGTCACAGCCAAGATAGTTACAACAGAATTGACTTTGGTTTCTAACAGACGCAACCTCTTCTAGAAACATAACATTGCCTTAGTCCAGTAGATGAGAGTCATTACAACAAAACAAAATCTGGATTTTCTCATTATATGTCTTAATGTACAGCGCCATTTGATTTTAGACGCTCAATGTTAGCAATTTTTGGCTTGTTTGCTGATAGGGATACAATAATGATGAGCAACGGACACCGACTACTGACATAATAAACGCTTTCTCTACTTCTTTACTTGCTTTCCTTTTGATCAACCCAATAACATATTCCATCAAGTCTGCATCACAAGGCAAGGTGAGATGTTCATTACCTTGAAGCCCGAACTCCTCTTCTGCCAGTTGGAACAACTCCATCACAATTAAATTCTTCAGATATTCCAATGGAAGCACAAACCGCTTCGCATCAGAGCTATACACCACAAAGTGACCCTTCTCGACCCTTGATGATGTGCTGCAACTGTTTGTGTCAACTTCCCCACTGGTTCTCGAGAGTGTGATTCTTTTTCTCTTAATTGCTGCCAATTTTTGCCATTTCCTTGCCAATTTGATAAGCTTCTTAGCACTGATCATCTTGTTTCTTTTCTCAAAACAAGGGAGGCTATTGTAGAACAAGAAAAGGCAGAGAGAGTAAAGATCGAAGGGAACTGAAAGCTTTTGTTTAGTTGTACTGATGAAAACGGAAAATGGATGAATATATATACACTCAAGTCTTGAAAAGCAGTCCTTTGAATGAAGTATTTCAATGTTGGGATTCAAGGGAAACAAATAAGCAAAACCATGTGGGTCGAAAATGTGAGAGATCAGTTAGAAGGCGGCCAGTTGGGCATGTCTGGTTGGTAATGGAAGTGGTCCAATCCTTTTCTTCCAGAACCGTGGCAAGTGCAGGACCCAAGATCGTAGTACTCATATGATCTGGATATATTACCTAACAAGAAAATATTGTTGTTCTAGTTTAGTATGAATCCTTGACTGATGGCTTTATCTAATTTCTGAAATAGGCTTTGCCCCCAACAAACTAATAAGATTGAAACATCATTATCTCCAGGCTGTTATATTTTTAGATATCTCATAATTAATCTTTTCGAATTGTTTGGTCGAATTTGGTAGAATTTGATAGAATTTTACGTCAAGTCTATGCTCAGATGATAGTCTCCAAAGGTTTTACCTTCTTTGATTTTCTCCACTGCCTGGACGATTTGTGTCTAACAAAGTAACAAATCAAAATTTGCTTCCTTGCCCTTGGCCTTTAATTTGTTTTCTTCTAAGCTCACCAAAATGGGTGATGAAGTTTCAGAATGCTGCTTCAATGACTTGTAAAAAGGGAATTTAATTATCCCCTATGAGAGAAGAAAAGAAAACATATATTCAAACATGAGAGACAAATATTTGAGTTCAGTTCCTGTATATTAACAAATAACAGAAGATTATGTTTTTATTATATATAAACAGAGGATTCCAATTTTGAATCTTATATACATTATCTTGGTAAAACTGTTTAGTAATAGTACCAGTTGACATGATAAGTCACTCTCACTAATATGAACTTGTCGATGTAGTATTGTAGATAAGAAGTAAGTTTCCTATCAAGGTTCAAAACAACCAAGTATGAGAAGAAAAAAATTGATGTTTTTGCATTATATTCTTTAATCTACAAAGGTGTGGATCAATTACAAGACGATGAAAGGGGAAAAAAATTTGTTTCAGAAGCTCCATATTGGCAACTGTGGGTTCATTTCTTGCTGATAAAGATATGATGGGCAGCAACGACCGGTGCTTACAGATAGTATCAATGCTTTCTCCACTTCTTTACTTGGTTTCCTTTTTATCAGAGCAATTATGAACACTCCAAGAACGGAAGCCTCCATTAAACAATGGCAAGCACAAGTAATCTATATTCACTACTAGTTACCAGAAATCAAAGTAGTATAATTATTTTCAATCTACAATGAAAAACCCACAAGCTAAATCAACAAACTCACACAACAAACTATCTAAAATCCCTAATAATGACTGTCGAAATCATATTCACTGTTCATGATAGTTAAAGAAGTCCAAACCCATATTGAGCAAAACCCATGAAATCGAACTTCAAAGTAAGCACAAAAACGCAAAGAAAATGGTCAGAGAAAGAGATGGAAACAGATCAGCAGGGGGAAAATATCAGGAGGAAATTGGAGAAAAATATAAGGGAAAAATGAAAGAAAAAAATTTGGACCATTTCTCGATTTGTGCGTGTCATCCTTGCGCAGGGGCCATGCTAATCTTCTCTGTATCGTTCCAATTTTATCGGATGTCCCCGAAGGGACAAACTGAAGAGGATGATTGCTGGTTATTAACTATTCGTTTTCTCATTAGCTAGCTGATGTGGGATATTTAGTTGGTTCCCAACTGAATCTTAACTAGTCTATCTCATCTTTATAAGGTCCTAACGTGTGGGCTGGCCCAGACTTGGGTGTTGCACAAAACAAAAGCCATGGGCTTGGGGATGTGGTTGAAGAGTGGGACCTTTTTATTTAGACATGAACCGTTGATGTGTCTCGACGCTCTTGACCCGATGAATGGATCCGAACCGAAACAGAGATTTTAAGTCCTAACTCAGCCAATGAAATTTTCATGGTTGTATTACGTTTAAGATGCTGATAATTGGTCAAGTTGTATTACGCTTCTACACCAACTCAACTGTCCACTTAAATAATTAGACAAAAGTAATCATTTAATGAAGATTTTCAGCAATTGTATTCAGGGATCTACTCATTTTTACATTATCATAAGCTTGTTTATTGTTTTGATTTCACAAGTAACAAAGGTGAAAGATTTGAGGCCAAGCATAGATGGCCGAGTCACTTTCTTTGTTTATGAGATATTTGGGTCTTCAATTCTTGGATGATGAACCCATTCAGCTGCTTGTTTAGGCTTCTTTGAAGCTCCAAATCACCAGAACAATGCATTAACAGGAAACACCTTAGAATTGTTAAGATGGGACAATCTCTATCAAGCAAACCCACTCAGTCAAGCAAATTGCAACCTATATTTGTCTATGTTCAAATCCAATCAATCTCACGACCTTCCTGTCACTTATCCATGGGGACAATCTCTTCTATATAGTCTTGAATGAAGATATGAGGGATGCACAAGCATGTGATGGTAAGAGAGAAATACATCATGTGTTGATCGTCCTATTTGTTTATTTTTTCTATTGGCACGTGGAGTTTGAATGTAAAGATGGGACTGTCCTGTTTATGTTGCCAAGTGGTCTAGTTTTCTTATATGAAACAAACCCTGATTTCACAACATGAAGGATATTATTTCTTGTATATGGAACATGTAAGATGACCGCAAGAGTAAAGATTTCTTGCAGTTTACCTTTGATAGTGACCATCTTGGTCTCTGAGGTGTAAAAACAAATTTGATCAGTTGGTCTTTGACCGGCTAACAATCTAGTCTTAGGTTAGTAATTTTTTAGCAATGCCTTTTCAAGATATGCACAAAAAAATACTACATCCAATGCAATGGAGAAGGTGGACCTAAATTTCTACTCTATGGTGTCATAAACTTCACAATTCTCAGTAAAAAGCACTCTAAATTGCTAATCTATGTTGTAAGCAGGTTTCTATAATAAAGGGTTTTACTGTTCTGATTCAAATGGATTTAGGATATCTGATAGATTCCAACTAAACAGTGAAGCTGAATTAGCTCAAACCGACAATCATAAGAGTCTGAATTAGCAAGACAAATACATGAAATTGTGGTCATTCTAACATCTTTCAACAGCTCAACTACAGGTGAATTTAACTTTTCAACTCAAAAGCATTCCTCAATGGTACAGAATTTTGGATGCAAAATTTTTAGCATATCTATATACAAAATTCCTCAATGGCATTGCATTGATATAAACTAAGGAGTCACAAGAGTTGCACCTTCACATTGAGAATTTCTTTGAAGGCACAACCTTTAAGCATTCAAAGTGACAAACTGACAGTCATTAGTCTCTAAACCAGAAAGACAAATACATGGAATTGTGGTCATTCTAAACTCTTTCAGCATATCAACAGCAGCTGAATTTTGACCTTTCAATTCAAATGCATTCCTCAATGGTATCGAATTGGAGAATTCCAATTCATCTTGCAGCATTTGGCCCTTCAATTCTGGCAAACAAACCAGAAGGTTACCACTGATAGATGCAAAAAAAATTAGCATATTTATTATCCAAATTCTAGTCATGAACACAGTGTTTCTGAACTTTGGAAGGAGAGTAAATATCAACATTCATAAAGTATACTTTGCAGCAAGTAAAATATTTCCAAACTTTGTAATTGGCCTCAAGGGAAATTACTAGATCAATGATTCCACAACCTATTTATAAAGATATCAACTATGAACACTTCAAGAACGGAAACCTCCATTAAACAATGCCAAGCACAAGTAATCTATATTCACTACTAGTTACCAGAAATCAAAGTAGTATAATTATTTTCAATCTACAACGAAAAACCCACAAGCTAAATCAACAAGCTCACACAACAAACTATCTAAAATCCCTAATAATGAATGTCGAAATCATATTCACTGTTCATGATAGTTAAAGAAGTCCAAACCCATATTGAGCAAAACCCATGAAATCGAACTTCAAAGTAAGCACAAAAACGCAAAGAAAATGGTCAGAGAAAGAGATGGAAACAGATCAGCAGGGGAAAATATCAGGAGGAAAAAGGAGAAAATTGAAAGAAAAAAATTTGGACCATTTCTCGATTTGTGCGTGTCATCCTTGCGCAGGGGCCATGCTAATCTTCTCTGTATCGTTCCAATTTTATCGGATGTCCCCGAAGGGACAAACCGGAGAGGTTGCTTGCTGCTTATTAACTATTCGTTTTCTCATTAGCTAACTGATGTGGGATATTTAGTTGGTTCCCAACTGAATCTTAACTAGTCTATCTCATCTTTATAAGGTCCTAACGTGTGGGCTGGCCCAGACTTGGGTGTTGCACAAAACAAAAGCCATGGGCTTGGGGATGTGGTTGAAGAGTGGGACCTTTTTATTTAGACATGAACCGTTGATGTGTCTCGACACTCTTGACCCGATGAATGGATCCGAACCGAAACAGAGAATTTAAGTCCTAACTCAGCCAATGAAATTTTCATGGTTGTATTACGTTTAAGATGCTGATAATTGGTCAAGTTGTATTACGCTTCAACACCAACTCAACTGTCCATTTAAATAATTAGACAAAAGTAATCATTTAATGAAGATTTTCAGCAATTGTATTCAGGGATCTACTCATTTTTACATTATCATAAGCTTGTTTATTGTTTTGATTTCACAAGTAACAAAGGTGAAAGATTTGAGGCCAAGCATAGATGGCCGAGTCACTTTCTTTGTTTATGAGATATTTGGGTCTTCAATTCTTGGATGATGAACCCATTCAGCTGCTTGTTTAGGCTTCTTTGAAGCTCCAAATCACCAGAACAATGCATTAACAGGAAACACCTTAGAATTGTCGATTCGATGCGACCATAATAAGCCATCTTCAAAATATTTCACCTCATTCACGAACAGCTAGACTTTACTCGTTTGATTGCTACGCTTCGTTACTTGCATCTAACACTCACCCAATTACAAGTAACATATGTCTCAATTAGCATCATTCAGGTCCCGCAAGCATGTCATGTTGTCAACTTGAGCTTAATCTTTGGGGCCTTCCGATTCAAACTCATTCCTTGATTTTGTTAATACACCACACAATCATGACTAAATGACTACAAATTTGTTATGACTATATACAGAAATGACAG